ATTTGATCGTAGTAGCACTTTAATGGTATGTTAAAACTTGGCAGCGGATTCTTCTGCTGCCATTTACATTTCTCAGGAGTTGCATATTTTAATGCATAGAGTTCATAACGCAAGAGAATATGAAACTAACAAGGTTAACTGAAACAATAAACAACGTTGCTGCCTTTATTAGTCATTGACATGTAAATTAGGGGCCAGGTATTCTACATAAAAGGCGCGAAATTTAAAGTCAACCCTTTTAGCAAGTGAACTGAGAGAGAAGAAGTGAGGGAAGTACGGTATGTATATACAACGTTAGTACAAACTATGTAGCAAAAGGCAAAGAATGAGTAAGAATGGCCAAGTTTAACGACAAGACTCGATCACTTTTTCATGTACAACGTGGTCAATGTAAGAAATCGATCTGAATAAGTCGTCAACTAACAACACAACCCTGTGATCGATTTGATACGACAGAAATGAGTTCTAATTAACGAAGATCACGATTCCAAGATCAGATAACAGTACGTTGATCCATTTTCCAATGAACCTATAAAACAGTTCCGCAGGGTAGATGTCATTATACCACGATGGCAAAAATTCAAAAGGATCATGCCATATCAATCAACTATTCAATAAGCTTAAGACGTAAAATATATGGTTAAAGCGAGAAATAATCTTGCTTAGCGATCCACGCAATACCCACTTTTGAGCATTTTGAGCATCTGTTCTAAAAAAAACGCTTAATCGCAGGTTAGCTTTTCGTTAGCTTTTCGCGGCCGCCCAAAACAGACCAAAAATCTCTATGTATTAGTGCACTCAAACTTTGTTTGCTTCTTATTTTTATCATTGCAATTTTGACAGGGGAAGGGGTATTTAGTAAAGGGGAATATTATGTATTCTGAACATTAAACGGAAAATGTATAAAATAGAACGGTTTGCGGATACGTTGTACAATCCATTTCCCTGATTGTGTTGAAGTTTTAAACCTAAAAAGGCTCGACTCATTGTAATAATAGTATAAGAATTTAAAGGCTTATACCGATCCCGCAAGAACCAAGTTTGAATGTTAAAGAGAACCTCACCCTAATCCATGAGTGTTCCGGGTTATGGTACCTACTAGAATACACAAGTCATGTTTATTACATAACGCTGTACTCCTTGGAATCCAATTCAATTATTTGGACCAATTTACTGGTGACAGTGGCAGGTACTTTATGGAAAAGAGGAAATATCAGAGATTGTTAGTGTTGGACCCACGTTTAATTGTTTGAGAGTCTTTTAAGACTTAAAATTGAATGCTACTTTTTTTCGTATCTCCACAATATAGAACTGCATGATGGAAGACGAAAAGAAAAAGATGGTAAAAAAAATTGAGGAAAAACTTGAAAAGGTCGTCGAAAGTGTGGCAAGCAAAGAGGTAATTACATTCAAAACCAAACTATTAATAGTAATCATACAGTAACGAAAAAACACAAAAAAATAATTTGTCTGACAAACAACAAAGGTGTTATCAATGTGTAAGGAAATGACTTAATTATCCACTAGGAACTTTGCCACAGGAGCTCCACAAATTCAAAGTTAGGTAAATATAAATAGGAAAAATATTGACAATATTAATGAAGTAGAACTACTTGCTGTGTCACTTGAGTTATGAACAGTTTCAAAATGGTCAATGATAAAGTTGAAAAAGTTGGACAATTTTAAACTGTAACAAACAAGTACCACACCCCTGTAAGCTTTTCTGGAATTTAAGAGTAAATAAAGTTTGCATATGTACGTATTGTATGTAAGTATGTTAGTCCTTGTAATGCTTGTGATCCATTACGTGTTTCCCTTTCTATTTTAATTCAATTTCGTCTTTATTTACAGGTGGGGGAGTTTTATAGGCCAAATATCAGAAACAGAAAAGATATTGTGGCCTTAAGGCCAAACCTTTTCAACGAAAAACTGATTTCAATTGGTCTGACCCCTATTAAAGACCTTCAGAAGTCAGTACAGACGCATAAGCTGGGTATGTATTGTAAGCCAGTTTATTTTAATATATTTTTATTTCTTTTTATTATATAAACTGCAGTGTTTTACAAGGATTTCTACCACCGAGAAATGTGGTATCTGAACACTCGTAAAAATACGATATTTTTACATGTGAAATTATTGATATTTGATAGTTTGAGAACATTTTAACCATTTATCTTGTCTTTTATATTTTGAACAAGATACCGGACATTTTTAATATTTGTATTTATTTTTTACTGTACTTTGTAGAGCTTCGAGTTTACACTGGAGTATTTTAAACAATGAATTACATTTGTCGGGTTCTCGACTATATGGCATGGTTTTGGTTTATGGAATGGCTGATTACCTGCTCGAAAATAGGCAAAGAGGAGAAAAAAGATTAAAAGAAAATAATATAATGTGGAATTAGAACACCTTTTTTCTCGTCCGCATTCAATGCAAAACTTCATCATTTTGACGAACATCCAAGCCTCTTTCGCTCTGAATAGAAGCCATGTTTGCTCGTTGCCAGGGCCACCCTGCGGAGCTATTTAGGGTCGCAAATAACTGTTTGGTTTTTCACGTCATGCTTTTTGTTTCCGATTGCAGGAGAAGTTAAGGGGGTGGCCCAAAGGTTCCACTCACCAAAAAGTGGAAAAAACAAAGCAAGACCTTGCGTGAATTTAAAAAAAGAAGCCTTAACATTAGCGAAGATTGAAGAAGGTAATTGGTTCTAATTTTTATTTATTTGATATCTATTTACCGTAATCCTCTCCTGGGGGCCTTATGTATTTCAAACACTTTTGAAGGGGGGAATTTTAACAGAGACGGGAGGCTTTTATTTGAATGGGGGTTTGCTTAATTTAGCGAAGAAGAAGGTATCAGTTCTCCATAATGACCTAGAAAGCAAGGTACAAGAAGTTGGAGGTCATGAAGCCAACAGAAAAAACAAATAAGAACTTATAGGTGGTGCATAAACCATTCTGGATCCGTCCACATGAAGTTTTACAGTCGCAATAGACTTCTGAAGCTTAGTCGTGATTGATTAATACAGTCTATCATTTATCAGTGAATAATAATAATAATAATAATAATAATAATAAGGGGAAGGGAGGGGGGTTTAAAAGAGAGGAGGGCTTATATAATTTTCTTCCCCGGAAAAGGGAAGGCTTGTCAAAGAGGGTTTATTTAGTAAGGAGAAAGAATGACATCGTCAAACAAGTGATTATTGCCTTCTAAGCTTTTTTGCTATAACAAGATTTCGTTATCGAGTTGAAAACAATAGCATAGTTAAGGTTTTATTGTGTGGGACATAAAAAGCACTTCAAATTGAAGGGGGTGGGGAAGGGAATCAACAACCTCGTCCCCAGGGCGCTTTTCCCTGGCTTTGGAGGTAAGCCAGGGAAGAGCGCCCTGGGGACGAGGTTGGAAATAAGTATGAACGAAAAAGTCGGAAGACTAGGCCGAGGACAGTAAAGAGTTGACGTTTCGCCACTCGGCAGTGAATATTTGGAGGAAAGTAATGTTCTACATGGTAATATTTTAAAGACATGACGTCATCAATCACGTGACCAGAACTTAAATATTTTAAATATTTTTTGTTCGTGTTTAAAGTATAGGCATTTGTCGTCATAAACTGGCAAGTTTTTCTTGTTTTTTTCTAGAAATCCTTACAATGTATTGCTTCTTAGTAATTATACCTCCTTTGTCAAAGAAGTAGAAAACGATCACTGAGCCGAAAGTTTAGGAATTTCGTAAATTGACCAATGTTGCAAGTTAAAACCGTCGCTTCTATCCCTTGGGAGGAAGAGAAGAGACGACCAGAAATACGTCTGCGGTTCACAGGCTACAGGGGTTGGGGCTTTGGGCAATGTGGACAAAACTATTTAAGAGTCTTTAACAACATTCAAATGCGTAAAGATTTCAATTATTACATGTCATCTTATATGTTTACCCCTTGTTTCTCGGGAGGACAAAAACAATGGTTTCTTAATTGTTAAAATTCTTTTTTTTTTAGCCGCTAGACGTAAGATTGAAGAAGGTAAGGATAAGTAATCTAATATTCCTTACGTAGATTCGACGAAAACATTTTTAGAGTAAGAGTTAAATTGTGCAAATTGTAAACCCAGTAGTCATGTTATGGAATGAGCATCGAATCGAAGACACTGTACCATGATGTTCTCTTTTGAGCTTCCTCTTCACCCCACAGACAACAACAACAACAACAACAACAACTAAACACGATATTTTACAGCCTAGCTTATGTGGTCGTGCATAATATAACCCAGACTAAATAAATAGTTGCTACGAAAAGATACTAAAAAAATTTACCCGGCTAACTTTGCACGAAATTATTTACATGTAACTATTTACAGATTTCTATCTACAGTTTTCTATTTGCAATGTCTCAATAGCTACATTTCTATTTATTGACAATAATTAAATCTGAACTATCACTTTCTTAAGCCCCTCCTTGAAGGCGGCTACGCTTTCCTTTGCCCTGATCTCATTGGGCAGGCCATTCCATAGATTAACTGGGTTTTGTTTGAGGCGGCCCAATTCATAAAATGCCTTCCATTTTTTCTCCCGGGGGACGATGGGGGATTTCTAGAAATTCGTTGTGGTGTGTGCCGTCCTACTCTTCAATCCTGACCCAAGACACTATCTTAGACCAATATTTATTAGGTAAATAAGGGTGTACCCCTCCAGGATTGTTGGTTCACAGAATGATGGTTATCAATTATTAACTGACAAATGCGGGAGGGAGGTATTCCTTAGGAGTTCGGGGTGGGGCTGTGTTGTCCAACTCTCCAAACCCAGATCCTTGACTAATTTTAAGACGCTCTTTATAGTGGTATTGCCGGAGTTTCCCTAGCTTGTCCATGTCAAAAGTTGAAAAAACCGTGCAAGGGTCTAATGAGTAACTAGACTACCATGCGACGATCGATATCATATCGATATCCATATTGATCTTCTTTTTGCAGAAGCTAGCACCGCGAGAACAACAGCGGCAGCAACAATAGCAACAACAACAGCAACAACAACAGCAACAACAACAACAACAACAACAACAGCAACAAGTAATGCAAGAAGCCGTGCAGCAAGAGGTAGAGATATTAGAAGGAAACAGTTTCACTCTCCCTGAGTTCGCGTTTTGAAAATTTGATATAAAAGGTCATATGAAGGAGATTCAAACCAAACATATAACGAAGCGTCAAATTGTGCATGCGCAGGAGATGGTACAGTTCATAAAATACTTCTATTTTTTCTCCGGGGGGGGGGGTATTTTTAGCAATTCGTTGTTGGGAGTGCCGTCCTACTCTTCAAATCCTGACCCTAGACCCTATTTCAGACCAATATTTATCCTTACCTCTTGAAAAGACTAGAGAAATAATGATAATGTAACTTTTCAAATTGTCGTGTTTTTTTTTCGGTAGCACCAACAACAACAGTTACAACAACAAGGCGACGTAAAGTACACAGTTATACCCTCCCTGAGTTTTCGCTTTAAAAATTTGACATCAAAGAACAATTAAGAAGAGTGAAATTGTACAAGATTTAAACCCAGTCACAGCCTAGCTTATGTGGTCGTGTATAATATAACTTATACTATATAAATAGTAGTAACAAAAAGATACTAAAAACATTTACTCCCCTAACTTTGCACGAAATTATTTACATGTTACTAGTTACAGATTTCTATCTACAGTTTTCTATTTGCAATGTTTCAATAGCTACATTTCTTTTTATTTACAATAATTGTATCTGAGTTCTCACTTTTTTAAGCCCCTCCTTGAAGGCGGCTAGGCTTTCCTTTGCCCTGATCTCATTGGGCAGGCCATTCCATAGATTAACTGGGGTTGCCGGAGGCGACCCAATTCATAAATGCNCTATTTTTTCTCCGGGGGGGGGGGTATTTCTAGCAATTCGTTGTTGGGAGTGCCGTCCTACTCTTCAAATCCTGACCCTAGACCCTATTTCAGACCAATATTTATCCTTACCTCTTGAAAAGACTAGAGAAATAATGATAATGTAACTTTTCAAATTGTCGTGTTTTTTTTTCGGTAGCACCAACAACAACAGTTACAACAACAAGGCGACGTAAAGTACACAGTTATACCCTCCCTGAGTTTTCGCTTTAAAAATTTGACATCAAAGAACAATTAAGAAGAGTGAAATTGTACAAGATTTAAACCCAGTCACAGCCTAGCTTATGTGGTCGTGTATAATATAACTTATACTATATAAATAGTAGTAACAAAAAGATACTAAAAACATTTACTCCCCTAACTTTGCACGAAATTATTTACATGTTACTAGTTACAGATTTCTATCTACAGTTTTCTATTTGCAATGTTTCAATAGCTACATTTCTTTTTATTTACAATAATTGTATCTGAGTTCTCACTTTTTTAAGCCCCTCCTTGAAGGCGGCTAGGCTTTCCTTTGCCCTGATCTCATTGGGCAGGCCATTCCATAGATTAACTGGGGTTGCCGGAGGCGACCCAATTCATAAATGCCTTCATTTTTTCTCCCGGAAGAAGAAGATTTCCAGAAATTCGTTGTGGGGTGTGCCGTCCTACTCTTCAAATCCTGACCCGAGACACTATCTTAGACCGATACCTATTAGGCAAATAAGGGTGTACCCCTCTAGGATTGTTGGTTCACAAAATGATGGCTATCAATTTTTAACTGAAAAATGCGGGGGGGATTCCTATGAGTTCTAGGTGGGGCTGTGTTGTCCAACTCTCCAAACACAGATCCTTGATTAATTTTAAGACGCTCTTTCTAGTGGTATCGCCGGAGTTTCCCTAACTTGTCCATGTCAAAAGTTGAAAAAACCGTGCAAAGGTCTAATGAGTAACTAGACTACCATGCGACGATCGATATCATATCGATATCCATATTGATCTTTTTTTTGCAGAAGCAAGCACTGCAACAACAACAACAACAACAGCAACAACAAGTAATGCAAGAAGACCTGCAGCAAGAGGTAGAGATATTAAAAGGAAACAGCTTCAGTCTCCCTGAGTTCGCGTTTTAAAAAGTGGATATAAAATATCATATAAAGCAGATTCAAACTGAACATATAACGAAGCGTCAAATTGTGCAGGAGGTGGCACAGTTCATAAAATACTTCTATGTTTTCTCCCGGGGGGGGGGGGGGAATAAAGCAGATTCAAACTGAACATATAACGAAGCGTCAAATTGTGCAGGAGGTGGCACAGTTCATAAAATACTTCTATGTTTTCTCCCGGGGGGGGGGGGTGGTATTTCTAGCAATTCGTTTTTAGAAGTGCCGTGCTACTTGTCAAGTCCTGACCTAAGACCCTATTTCAGACCAATATTTATCCTTACCTCTTGAAAAGACTACAGAAGCAATGATAATGTAACTTTTCAAATTGTCTTCTTTTTTTTTTCGGTAGTACCAACAACAACAGCTACAACAACCAAGCGAGGTAAAGTACACAGTTATACACTCCCTGAGTTTTCGCTTTAAAAATTTGACGTCAAAGAACAATTAGGAAGAGTCAAATTGCACAAGATTAAAACCCAGTTACAAAATGTAAATCGAAATGAACGTCGAAAAAACAGATCCTCTCATGAAATCTTTCTTTCTCTCTCCGTCATAACCTTTGTCTTCTCACTTGAGTAACAAGACTTACAAGTGACTTACAAGTAACGTAGCCAGGTTCTCGGGAGGACAACTACAATGGTTCCTTAATTGTTAAAATTTTACGTCTGCGGTTCACAGACTACAGGGGTTGGGGCTTTGGGCAATGTGGACAAAACTATTTAAGAGTCTTTAACAACATTCAAATGCGTAAAGATTTCAATTATTACATGTCATCTTATGTGTTTACCCCTTGTTTCTCGGGAGGACAAAAACAATGGTTTCTTAATTGTTAAAATTCTTTTCTTTTTTTTTTTTCAGCCTCCAGACGTATGAATGAGGAAGGTAAGGATACGTAATTTAACATTCCTTACGTAGATTCGAGGAAAACATTTGTAGAGTTAGAGTTAAATAGTGCAAATTGTAAACCCAGTAGTCATGTTATGGAATGAGCATCGAATCGAAGACACTGTACCATGATGTTCTCTTTTGAGCTTCCTCTTCACCCCACAGACAACAACAACAACAACTAAACACGATATTTTACAGCCTAGCTTATGTGGTCGTGTATAATATAACTCACACTATATAAATAGAAGTAACAAAAAGATACTAAAAACATTTACACGCCTAACTTTGCACGAAATTATTTACATGTTACTGTTAATGATATATGAAAGAAATCATATATGAACTGCAAAAATGAAATGAAAATGAAGAAATGATCGTCGCAGAGAACGCAATTTATGCAATTGCGTAAAGAGCATCGCACCGGTATCGCGAGGTCACGGGTTCAAACCCCGTTGAAGTCCTGAATTTTTTTTCAGGCTTCTGTACGCAATTGCATGAATTGCGTTCACTGCGACGATCATTTCTTCATTTTCATTACATGTTACTATTTACAGATTTATATCTACAGTTTTCTATTTGCATTGTTTCAATAGCTACATTTCTATTTATTCACAATAATTACGTCTGAGTTATCACTTTTTTAAGCCCCTCGTGAAGGCGGCTACGCTTTGTTTTGCCCTGATCTCATTGGGCAGAACATTCCATAGATTAACTGGCTTTGCCGGAGGCGACCCAATTCATAAAATGTCTTCCATTTTTTCTCCCGGGGGACGAGAGGATTTCTAGAAATTCGTTGTGGAGCGTGCCGTCCTACTCTTCAAATTCTGACACCAGACACTGTCTCAGACCAATACCTATTAGGCAAATAAGGGTGTACCCCTCCAGGATTGTTAGTTGACAAAATGATGGCTATCAATTATTAACTGAAAAATGCGGGGGGGATTCCTTAGGAGTTCGGGGTGAGGCTGTGTTGTCCAACTCTCCAAACCCAGACCCTTGACTAATTTTAAGACCCTCTTTCTAGTGGTATCGCCGGAGTTTCCCTAGTTTGTCCATGTCAAAAGTTGAAAAAATCGTGCAAGGGTCTAATGAGTAACTAGACTACCATGCGACGATCGATATCATATCGATATCCATATTGATCTTCTTTTTTTGCAGAAGCTAGCACCGCGAGAACAACAGCAACAACAACAACAGCAACAACAGCAACAAGTAATGCAAGAAGCCGTGCAGCAAGAGGTAGAGATATTAAAAGGAAACAGTTTCACTCTCCCTGAGTTCGCGTTTTGAAAATTTGATATAAAAGGTCATATAAAGGAGATTCAAACCAAACATATAACGAAGCGTCAAATTGTGCATGCGCAGGAGACGGTACAGTTCATAAAATACTTCTAGTTTTTCTCCGGGGGGAGGGGGTATTTCTAGCAATTCGTTGTTGGGAGTGCCGTCGTACTCTTCAAATCCTGACCCAAGACCCTATTTCAAACCAATATTAACCCTTACCTCTTGGAAAGACTAGAGAAATAATTATAATGTAACTTTTTAAATTATTGTGTTCTTTTTTTTTCGGTAGCAACAACAGCAAAAGCTACGACAAAGGGGCGAGGTAAAGTACACAGTTATACACTCCCTGAGTTTTCGCTTTAAAATGTGACATCAAAGGACAATTAAGACGAGTCAAATTACACAAGATTTAAACCCAGTTACAAAATATAAATCGAAATGAACGTCGAAAAAACAGATCCTCTCATGAAATCTTTCTTTCTCTCTCCGTCATAACCTTTGTCTTCTCACTTGAGTAACTACACTTACAAGTAACTTTCAAGTAACGTAGCGAGGTTCTCCGGAGGACAACTACAATGGTTCCTTAATTGTTAAATTTCTTTTTTTTTTTCAGCCTCTAGACGCATGGATGAGAAAGGTAAGGATACGTAATCTAACATTCCTTACGTAGATTCGACGAAAACATTTTTAGAGTTAGATTTAAATTGTGCAAATTGTAAACCCAGTAGTCATGTTATGAAATGAGCATCGAATCGAAGACATTGTACCATGATGTTCTCTTATGAGCTTCCTCTTCACCCCACAGACAAAAAAAATAACTAAACACGATATTTTACAGCCTAGCTAATGTGGTCGTGTATAATATAACTCAGATTAAATAAATAGTAGTAACAAAAAGATACTAAAAACATTTACCCGCCTAACTTTGAACAAAATTATTTACATGTTACTATTTCCAGATTTCTATCTACAGTTTTCTATTTCAATGTTTCAATAGCTACATTTCTATTTATTTATCAATAATTACATCTGAGTTATCACTTTTTTAAGTCCCTCCTTGAAGGCGGCTAGGCTTTGCTTTGCCCTGATCTCATGGGGCAGGCCATTCCATAGATTAATTTGTCTTGCCGGAGGCGGCCCAATTCATAAAATGCCTTCCATTTTTTTTCTCCCGGGGGAGGGATTTCTAGAAATGCGTTGTGGGGTGTGCCGTCCTACTCTTCAAATCCTGACCCAAGACACTATCTTAGACCAATACCTATTAGGAAAATAAGGGTGTACCCCTCCAAGATTGTTGGTTGATAAAATGATGGCTATCAATTTTTAACTGAAAAATGAGGGGGATATTCCTTAGAAGTTCGGGGTGGGGCTGTGTTGTCCAACTCTCCAAACCCAGATCCTTGACTAATTTTAAGACGCTCTTTCTAGTGGTATCGCCGGAGTTTCCCTAGCTTGTCCATGTTAAAAGTTGAAAAAACCGTGCAAAGGTCTAATGAGTAACTAGACTACCATGCGACGATCGATATCATATCGATATCCATATCGATCTTCTTTTTGCAGAAAAAAGCACCGCAACAACAACAGCAACAAGTAATGCAAGAAGATCTGCAACAAGAGGTAGAGATATAAAAAGAGAACAGTTTCACTCTACCTGAGTTTGCGTTTTGCAAATTTGATATAGAAGGTCATATAAAGCAGATTCAAACTGAACATATAACGAAGCGTCAAATTGTGCAGGAGGTGGCCCTGTTCATGAAATACTTCAATTTTTTTCTCCCGGGGCGGGGGGTGGTATTTCTAGCAATTCGTTTTTGGTGGTGCCGTGCTACTTGTCAAGTCCTGACCTAAGACCCTATTTCAGACCAATATTTATCCTTACCTCTGAAAAGACTAGAGAAATAATGATAATGTAACTTTTTGAATTGTAGTGTTCTTTTTGTTTTCGGTAGCACCACCAACAACAGCTACAACAACGAGGCAAGGTAAAGTACACAGTTATACACTCCCTGAGTTTTCGCTTTAAAAATTTGACATCAAAGAACAACTAAGAAGAGTCAAATTACACAAGATTTAAACCCAGTTACAAAATATAAATCGAAATGAACGTCGAAAGCACAGATCCTCTCATGAAATCTTTCTTTCTCTCTCCGTCATAACCTTTGTCTTCTCACTTGAGTAACTAGACTTACAAGTAACTTTCAAGTAACGTAGCGAGGTTCTCGGGAGGACAACTACAATGGTTCCATAATTGTTAAAATTCTTTTTTTTTTCAGCCTCTAGACGTATGAATGAGGAAGGTAAGGATACGTAATCTAACATTCCTTACGTAGATTTGAGGAAAGCATTTTTAGAGTCTGAGTTGAATTGTGCAAATTGTAAACCCAGTAGTCATGTTATGGAATGAGCATCGAATCGAAGACACTGTACCATAATGTTCTATTTTGAGCTTTCTCTTCACCCCACAGACAACAACAACAACAACAACTAAACACGATATTTTACAGCCTAGCTTATGTGGTCGTGTATAATATAACTCAGATTAAATAAATAGTAGTAACAAAAAGATACTAAAAGATTTACACGCCTAACTTTGCACGAAATTTTTTACATGTTACTATTTCCTGAGTTCTATCTACAGTTTTCTAGTTACAATGTTTCAATAGCTACATTTCTATTTATTGACAATAATTACATCTGAGTTATCACTTTTTTAAGTCCCTCCTATAAGGCAGCTAGGCTATGCTTTGCCCTGATCTCATGGGGCAGGCCATTCCATAGATTAACTTGGCTTGTCGAAGGCGGCCCAATCCATAAAATGCCGTCAATTTTTTCTCCCGGCCGGGGAGAGGAATTCTAACGACCCCAGTCACTATCTTAGACCAATACCTATTTAGCAAATAAGGGTATACCCCTCCAGGATTGTTGGTTGACAAAATGATGGCTATCAATTTTGAACTGAAAAATGCGGGGGGGATTCCTTAGGAGTTCGGGTGGGGCTGTGTTGTCCAACTCTCCAAACCCAGACCCTTGATTAATTTTAAGACGCCCTTTCTAGTGGTATTGCCGGAGTTTCCCTAACTTGTCCATGTCGAAAGTTGAAAAAACCGTGCAAGGGTCTAATGAGTAACTAGACTACCATGCGACGATCGATATCATATCGATATTTATATGGATCTTCTTTTTGCAGAAGGAAACACAGCAACAACAACAGCAACAAAAACAACACCAACAACAGCAACAAGTAATGCAAGAAGACCTGCAGCAAGAGGTAGAGATATTAAAAGGAAACAGTTTCACTCTACCTGAGTTCGCGTTTTCAAAATTTGATATAAAAGGTCATATAAAGCAGATTCAAACTGAACATATAACGAAGAGTCAAATTGTGCAGGAGGTGACCCATTTCATAAAATACTTCTAATTTTTCCCCCGGGGGGGGTATATCTAGCAATTGGTTGTTGGGGGTGCGGTCCTACTTTTCAAATCCTGACCCAAGACCCTATTTCAGACCAATATTTATCCTTACCTCTTGAAAAGACTAGAGAAATAATGATAATGTAACTTTTTAAATTGTTGTGTTCTTTTTATCTTCGGTAGCAGCAACAACAACAAGGCGACGTAAAGCACACAGTTATACACTCCCTGAGTTTTCGCGTTAAAAATTTGACATCAAAGAACAACTAAGAAGAGTTAAATTGTACAAGATTTAAACCCAGTCAGAAAATATAAATCGAAATGAACGTCGAAAGCACAGATTCTCTTATAAAATCTTTCTTTCTCTCTCCGTCATAAGCTTCGTCTTCTCACTTGAGTAACTAGACTTACAAGTAACTTACAAGTAACGATAATTACATCTGAGTTATCACTTTTTTAAGCCCCTCCTAGAAGGCGGCTAGGTTTTTCTTAGCCCTGATCTCATTGGGCAGGCCATTCCATAGATTAACTGGGGTTGCTGGAGGCGGCCCAGTTCATAAAATGCCATCAATTTTTTCTCCCGGGGGGAAGGGGGGGGGGGGTTTGGCAATTCGTTGTGGTGTGTGCCGTCCTACTCTTCAAATCCTGACCCCAGAAACTATCTTAGACCCATACCTATTAGGCAAATAAGGGTGTACCCCTCCAGGATTGTTGGTTCACAGAATGATGGCTATCAATTATGAACTGACAAATGCGGGGGGGAGGTATTCCTTGGGAGTTCTGGGTGGGGCTGTGTTGTCCAACTCTCCAAACCCAGACCCTTGACTAATTTTAAGACGTTCTTTCTAGTGGTATTGCCGGAGTTTCCCTAACTTGTCTATGTCAGAAGTTGCAAAAAACCGTGCAAAGGTCTAATGAGTAACTAGACTACCATGCGACGATCGATATCATATCGATATTCATATCGATCTTCTTTTTGCAGAAAAAGGCACCGCAAGAACAACAGCAACAACAACAACAACAACAAGTAATGCAAGAAGCCGTGCAGCAAGAGGTAGAGATATTAAAAGGAAAAAGTTTCACACTCCCTGAGTTCGCGTTTTGAAAATTTGATATAAAAGGTCATATAAAGCAGATTCAAACCAAACATATAACGAAGCGTCAAATTGTGCATGCGCAGGAGATGGTACAGTTCATAAAATACTTCTATTTTTTCTCCAGGGGGGGGGGGGGGTATTTCTAAACGATAAAGTGGAAGGAATAAGAAAGAGAAAAATCTTCACTCCTCCCGTTGTCCATTTTTTAAAACTTTAATAAAAAAGGTAAAAAAAAGCAATTAAAACAAAAAACAACAAGGAGCCTCAAATTGGGCAGCGGGAGGGAAGGGTACACTTTAAAAAATTTTTTTTTTTTTCTCCCGGGGGGGGGGGGGGGTATTTCTAGCAATTTGTTGTTTGGGGTGCCGTCGTACTTTTCAAATCCTGACCTAAGACTTTATTTCAGACCAATATTTATCCTTACCTCTTGAAAAGACAAGAGAAATAATGATAATGTAACTTTTCAAATTGTCTTTTTTTTTCGGTAGCACCAACATCAACAGCTACAACAACAAGGAGAGGTAAAGTACACAATTATACATTCCCTGAGTTTTCGCTTTTGGAATTTGACATCAAAGAACAGTGAAGAAGAGTGAAATTGTACAAGATTTAAACTCAGTCACAAATTACATATTAATCGAAATGAACGTCGAAAGCACAGATCCTCTTATAAAATCTTTCTTTCTCTCTCCGTCATAGCTTCGTCTTCTCAATTGAGGGTAACTAGACGTACTTAATGGACAATTATTACTACTTAAAATTACCTCTCGAAAACCTTGCGAAATAATAATGATACGTCTTTTAAGTTGTGGTGATCCTATTTTTTCAGTACCTTCAAGAGCCAGAACACCACCACCACCACCACCACCAACAACAACAGCAACAGTAATGCCACAAGGAGGTAAAGTATACAGTTACACAAAACATTTGTTCGGCCCTTCAGGCCTCAGTTTGCTCTAAAAATAAGGGGGGCGGGCCCTCTGGGCCCTTCCCCTGAATCAGCCAGTGAAAAGGATAAAAAGGCAGAGAAACCCCAGAAAAATGGCAAAGAATTCGAAAGTATCGGGCTAAAAAACTGGTTAAGCAAAGAAAAGAAGAGTTCCAAAAACAGGGAGAATATTAAGCAATATCGGGAAGCCAGAAATATTTGCCGAAAAAGGAAGGTTTCCAGCCAAGAGGGTTGGAATCTCCGCGGTTTCGATTCAATTGCAAAGTTGCCTCATTTGTATAACTGAACCAAATAGCGGACGTCTATATCTCACAATGCAACCAGAGTATTTAATTTACGACGTTTGAAGATTAAGGTACAATAATTCAGTGAATAATTACTCCTTAAGGTGACTTTTGGTCCGACTATAGTAGTTATATCTCCTTGTAAAGAAAAATAGAAACTATTATTGTTGCTTTCACTATACGACCATGTCTATTTTAGAAAAGAAAGCGTTATCTATAGCTTTCAACTCCAGTCCCTGGTGTCGTCTTTACCAGACTGTCTCTGTCTCAGTAAGCCTTTTCCCCTTCACCTGTTCATCTGTGTTCACTTGATATTTTTAATATTGAAGATCTGGTATTTTTTCACAGATAACGAAGAAGAAATAAAACAATTGAGGGAGGAGGTTGGGGAATTAAGAAGGGAATTGAAAGACCTGAGGGGTAAGTTGCAGACTGATTTAGCACAACCATAATCCGGATTAGGGATAGCAGTTCCTCCCCCTCTCCTGTGCAAGCTAGCCCTGCAAAGATCAAAATTACACTGGTTTATATAAAATTGGACTCGATAACCAACCGTTGTTTTCGTTAAATAAACCCACAGTTAAAAAGGTCTAAGACTGTAACTGGAAGAGCGTTGGAAGTGGAATCTATGCTTGCCTTGAACTGACATGCGCAAGTTTCTGTACTGTTCAAATAGCGTGCTAAATCGTGCTAAAAGAGTTTACTTTGTCACTGAACAATACAAAAATTATCCAGTTGATTCCGGTTTACTGATTCTTGCAAAAACTTTTATTTGCAGATTCCATTAAGGAGAAAGAGAGGGAAGAGTTCGAAAAAATGAAAAGAAAAAAAAGAAAAATTGATTGTGAAGTTGAATATTTAGAGAAAAAATATAAGAGATCCTAATTAACTTCCCCTTTATGTTGCCCTGTTTTCAATTAAGATCAATGTATCAATAATTTTGAAAATGATACGATTTGCCTTTGTTAACGGCCCTATAGAATAAAAAGTCGCCAATTTTTTCTCATGTTTTATTTTTTCAATTAGGATCTCTTAAATTTTTTCTCTGGTAACTTTCTTTCCAGAGTACTAAAACAGCATTCATAAGTAAAGAGCTATGTAAATAAGATAAATAAGATATATAAAAAAGTCTAAAAAAAATTAAATCTCAATAATTTCTTAAATAAAATACATAAATAAATAATTAGGTAATTTTAATAAACTAGTGTCTATATCTATATGGTGTTACAAGTTATAATGGCCAGTGAAGGAGTCTATATAGCTGGGTGATTTCTAATAAAATATAGTGTGGTAAGATAATTAGTCTATTTGATAAGTAGGTAAGGTAATTAGCCTGATAGATAAATTAGTACGATGCATATAACAAACATATAAATTGAATATATATATTATGTAGATTAGTCGTGATTAATAATTATCAGTAAGTCATAAGGGGTTGTTCAACCCCTTATCAGTTTCTGTAATCATATAATAAAACTAGTATGCTGTCACTATGAACACGTATAGGTAGTTAAAGTACTTGGGATGAATTAAGTGCCGAGAAAAGTTCAACTTTTTTTCTTTTTTTCGTTTTCTAATTGTGGACTGCATATTCATGTAACATTAGTGCGGAGCTTACGCAACAAGTACAGTAGACAGAAAGGAGAGGGTGGCAAACATAGCAGTGCTATATCACTTGCATGTTTTGTCATGTTTAGTTCCTTTTTTCACTATGCTCTGGTCCTTTACGATCACATCTGTTCATAGAACGGTAAAGTTTAAAGTGTCAAGCTTAATAACAAAGGTTTACCGTCTTATTTCCTTTTCCGTCTTATTACGTGGCACTATACTTTTAACGATAAGGAAATCTTGTTATTGACGAAAAAAGCAATAGTCTTTTCTCAGTTAGCTGGTATAGACATCACGCTGATATAGTCCTCAGCGAAATATCCTTCATCTTGTTATGCGTAAGGTGTATTGATATATATATATATATTATATATATCCAACAACGTTCCGATAAATTGATTTAGAGCTAGGGGGTGAAGGGAGTTCAATTATTTATTAAAGTCAATTAAATTAGGTTACTCTTGCCATTCTTGATCCGAAAACATGTTCAGGCTGTTTGAGTATTGTTTCCAGTTTCAAAAGTTGGCCAATGATCATTACCATACTAAAACAACTACAAAAGAGTAGAGTAATTCATTTTTACAGTGCCAATCTAGGGATTAATTTTATTATCATAGCTATCTTAATTACTTAATACTTTTTATAGTGAATAAAATCATTCATGATTTATCCCGCGTGGAGTTGGTCTTCTGTCATAATAATAAATAATGACAATCTGGTACGCCAGGTACGTTTAGGTACATTATAATAATCATATATGAACAACCTACCAGGGTCTACCAACATACCGCTGGACGCCTTGCTTGCAGACCCAAAATTTGCAGTGAAATTTTAAAAACAACAGCCAAATGCGTGGGTTAATACACCTGTTTCCTCCAGCTGTGGAGCATTTGTGGACCGCAACACCACAACGGATGGCCCTTTATCACCCCCGCCAAGTCGCCAAGGGTGAGCGTGTTTAACGCATTATTAACAATTATTCCTCGAGCTCGAATGGCCTGTGAGTCAATATTGACTCAGAGGCCATGAGGGCGAGAGGAACAATTGTTTTAGTAAAATACAACTAGCTGGTCAAAAATATCAAGAATATAAAAATTTTAGCTAGTCAAAAGCTAGACTTTAAGCCTTTTTTGCCGCCAAAAAGCCTGCGGTTTTCCCTATTAGTGGGCTATAACATATAGCCTAGTAGTAGCTCAACCAATCAGAACGCAGCATTGATAATAGCCCACTAGGTGGATTTTACTAATTTACTCTATCGATAAGCTTGTACCGATGTACCGAACGCTGGTGAACATACAGTTTCAGAAGTAAGGCCCTGCCAGTGAGGGTGGTTTCGAAAACGAAGACCAAAGCGCAAAACACCCAAAACTTGAAACCACTNTATTAGTGGGCTATAACATATAGCCTAGTAGTAGCTCAACCAATCAGAACGCAGCATTGATAATAGCCCACTAGGTGGATTTTACTAATTTACTCTATCGATAAGCTTGTACCGATGTACCGAACGCTGGTGAACATACAGTTTCAGAAGTAAGGCCCTGCCAGTGAGGGTGGTTTCGAAAACGAAGACCAAAGCGCAAAACACCCAAAACTTGAAACCACTGTAGGTTGAAGAACTACAACTTTAAAGTGTTGCATTACACAAGCCGAACCAGGTGGAGGCAATGGATGCGTCCGCACTTCCAAAGGTCCACAAATCCATCCCAAGGTTTTATTTCAAACCTGCAAACTGTTTAACTGAACGTTGATATAATAAATATGCCAGCGAAATTTCAGAAAAATCTTTGGAGCAGAAGTCCGTAACTAAAAGTCGCTCAAAAATCAGCTGTCAAATTGTTTTGAAATTGCAAAATAAATTACTATCAAGTTGAAGGAGCAACCAGTTCAAATTTTTGGGGCAAGTAAATTCAATGTTTGCTAATTTTGAAAACAAAAACCGATTGCCAATCTTTGTGGTTCGTTGGCCACGCATTCATTTCTCCCTCACAGAGAAATGGATGCATGATGAACGAACCCCAAGGATGTCTGCAAGGAGGCTACGCGTGCTATTCTTTAAATGGTACTTTTTAGTGTAGAAGCACTATAAGTTGATCCAAACCTTGCTCTGATGTTCAATGCTCTGTTCGGGCATATATCTTATGTTATATAACTGTTATCAGAGGTCTGATGTCTAATATCAGACGTCTCATACCAGTTATATGACAGTAGATGTCTGCTGTCATTTAACTGTTATCACACGTCTGATAACAGTTATTAATGTCAAACGTCTACTAACAGTTATATTACAGTTATATTACAGTTGTTATCAGACGTGTGATGTCAGAGGTCTGCTCTCATATAACTGTTATCACACGTCTGATGTTATATATTATGTCAGACGTCTGATGTTATATTACAGTTGTTATCAGACGTCTGCTGTCGTATAACTGTCATCAGATGTCTGATGTTATATGTTACGTTATATAACTGTTATCAGATGTAGAGACAACTGTAATATAACTGTTAGTAGACCTCTGACATCTATAGCTGTTATCAGACCTCTGATGACAGTTATATAACATAACATATAAAAACAGACATCAGATGTCTGATAACAGTTATATAACAGAACATATAAAATCAGACGTCTGATAACAGTTATATAACATCAGACGTCTGATACCAGTTATATAACAGCAGACGTCTGACATCAGACGTCTGATGACGTCTCTATAACATAACATATAAAAAGTATATCTAACATCAGACGTCTGATAACAGTTATATAACATAACATATAACATCAGACATCTGATAACACTGTTATAAAGAATGGTAATTGAACTGAGTGGATTGCAATTTGGTCTGAAATCATGCGCGTGATTTCAAAATCGAATGAGCGCGCAGCGCGAGTTCGATTTGACATCACAAGTATGATTTCAGACCAAAATTGCACGACACGAAGTTCAATTACCACTTTATTACATCCATTTTGAAATCGCAGAATTTAGTCAGTACTAATATTTTATTGATCGAGTAGCCGGTTTGTTAAAAGGCCGAAACAAAAAGGCTTTTACATCTCATTTTGTATTCGAAACAGAAATGATGCGATATAGAACGAAAATGGTGCGATTTAAAAAAGAAATGATGGGATTTAGAACATGAATGACGCGATTTGGAATAGATGCGACTTAGAGCAAAAAATGGTGTGATTTAGGAATAAATCACACTGCTGAGAGCCAATCAGATTGCATGGATAGCCAGTGATTTCAAAGTGAATGTAATAAAACAGTATATAACTGTTATAACTGTTATACTGTTATATGACAGTTATATCACAGTATATAACAATATAACTGTGTTATATAACAGTATATGTAACAGTTATGTAACTGTTATATAACAGTTCTATATAACTGTTATATAACAATATAACTGTTATATAACAGTTACATATAACTGTTATATAACATTTCTATATAACAGCTATATACTGCTGTTATATAACACTTCTATATAACTGTTATATAACAGTTATATAGAAGTGTTATATACTGCTGTTGTATAACACTTCTATATAACTGTTTTATAACAGTTCTATATAACTGTTATATAACAGTTCTATATAACTGTTATATAACAGTTCTATACAACTGTTATCTAACAGTTCTATATGTATATATACAACTGTTATATAACAGCAGTATATAACTGTTATATAACAGTTATATAACACTTCTATAAAACTGTTATACAAAAGTTACATATAACAACAGTATATAACTGTTATATCACTGTTATATAGAACTGTTATATAACAGTTATATAGAGGTGTTATATAACAGCAGTATATAACTGTTGTATAGAACTGTTATATAACAGTTATATAGAAATGTTATATATGTAACTGTTATATAACAGTTCTATATAAGTGTTATATAACAGTTACTTTTAACTGTTATATAACAGTTATATACTGCCGTTCTATAACAGTTCTATACAACTGTTATAGAACACCAGTATATAACTGTTATATACCATCATATATAACTGTTATATAACAGTGATATGTGACTGTTATATAACTGTTATATAACAGTTTATATAAGTGTTATATAACAATTGTATACTGGTGTTCTATAACAGTTGTATAGAACTGTTATAAAACAGTTATATAGAAGTTTTATACAACAGCAGTATATAACAGTTATATACTGCTGTTATATAACAGTTGTATAGAACTGTTATATACCATTATATATAACTGTTATATACCAGTTGTATAACAGTGATATGTGACTGTTATATAACACCTCTATAAAACTGTTATATAACAGTTTTATATAAGTGTTATATAACAGTTATATACTGGTGTTCTATAACAGTTGTATAGAACTGTTATAAAACAGTTATATAGAAGTGTTATACAACAGCAGTATATAACAGTTCTATATTAGTGTTATATAACAGTTACTTTTAACTGTTATATAACAGTTATATACTGCCGTTATATAACAGTTACAACTGTTATATAACACTTCTATATAACTGTTATATGCCATCATAAACAACTGTTATATAACAGTTGTATAACAGTGATATGTGACTGTTATATAACAGTTATATAACACCTCTATAAAACTGTAATATAACAGTTCTATATAAGTGTTATATAACAGTTATATACTGGTTTTCTATAACAGTTGTATAGAACTGTTATATAACAGTTATTTAGAAATGTTATATATGTAACTGTTATTTAACAGTTCTATAGACAGTTACAGTTACTTTTAACTGTCACATATCACTGTTATACAACTGTTATATAACAGTTGTATATGATGGTATATAACAGTTATATAGAAGTGTTATATAACAGTTGTATGTAACTGTTATATAACAGTTATATAGAAGTGTTATATAACAGCAGTATAGAACTGTTATATAACAGTTATATAGAAGTGTTATATAACAGCAGTATATAACTGTTATATAACAGTTATATACCACTTCTATATAACTGTTATATAACAGTTCTATACAAGTGTTATATGACAGTTGTATAGAACTGTTATATAACAGTTGTATAGAACTGTTATAAAACAGTTATATAGAAGTGTTATAAAACAGCAGTATATAACAGTTACATATAACTGTTATATAACCGTTAGATAGAACTGTTATATAACAGTTATATAGAAGTGTTATATAACAGCAGTATATAACTGTTATATAACAGTTATATGTAACTGTTATATACTGCTGTTGTATAACACTTCTATATAACTGTTATATAACAGTTGTATATATACATATAGAACTGTTAGATAACAGTTGTATATAACAGTTGTATAGAACTGTTATATAACAGTTATATAGAAGTGTTATACAACAGCAGTATATAACAGTTACATATAATTGTTATATAACAGTTATATACTGCTGTTATATAACAGTTGTATAGAACTGTTATATAGAAGTGTTATATAACAGCAGTATATAAGTGTTATATAGAAATGTTAGAAGTGTTATATAACAGCAGTATATAACTGTTATATAGAAATGTTATATAGAACTGTTATATTGTTATATAACAGTTATATAGAACTGTTATATAACAGTTACATAACTGTTACATATACTGTTATATAACACAGTTATATTGTTATATACTGTGATATAACTGTCATATAACAGTATAACAGTTATAACAGTTATATACTGTTTTATTACATTCACTTTGAAATCACTGGCTATCCATGCAATCTGATTGGCTCTCAGCAGTGTGATTTATTCCTAAATCACACCATTTTTTGCTCTAAGTCGCATCTATTCCAAATCGCGTCATTCATGTTCTAAATCCCATCATTTCTTTTTTAAATCGCACCATTTTCGTTCTATATCGCATCATTTCTGTTTCGAATACAAAATGAGATGTAAAAGCCTTTTTGTTTCGGCCTTTTAACAAACCGGCTACTCGATCAATAAAATATTAGTACTGACTAAATTCTGCGATTTCAAAATGGATGTAATAAAGTGGTAATTGAACTTCGTGTCGTGCAATTTTGGTCTGAAATCATACTTGTGATGTCAAATCGAACTCGCGCTGCGCGCTCATTCGATTTTGAAATCACGCGCATGATTTCAGACCAAATTGCAATCCACTCAGTTCAATTACCATTCTTTATAACAGTGTTATCAGATGTCTGATGTTATATGTTATGTTATATAACTGTTATCAGACGTCTGATGTTAGATATACTTTTTATATGTTATGTTATAGAGACGTCATCAGACGTCTGATGTCAGACGTCTGCTGTTATATAACTGGTATCAGACGTCTGATGTTATATAACTGTTATCAGACGTCTGATTTTATATGTTCTGTTATATAACTGTTATCAGACATCTGATGTCTGTTTTTATATGTTATGTTATATAACTGTCATCAGAGGTCTGATAACAGCTATAGATGTCAGAGGTCTACTAACAGTTATATTACAGTTGTCTCTACATGTGATAACAGTTATATAATGTAACATATAACATCAGACATCTGATGACAGTTATATGACAGCAGACGTCTGATAACAACTGTAATATAACATCAGACGTCTGACATAATATATAACATCAGATGTGTGATAACAGTTATATGAGAGCAGACCTCTGACATCACACGTCTGATAACAACTGTAATATAACTGTAATATAACTGTTAGTAGACGTTTGACATTAATAACTGTTATCAGACGTGTGATAACAGTTAAATGACAGCAGACATCTGCTGTCATATAACTGGTATGAGACGTCTGATAACAGTTATATAACATAAGATATATGCCCGAACAGAGCATTGAACATCAGAGCAAGGTTTGGATCAACTTATAGTGCTTCTACACTAAAAAGTACCATTTAAAGAATAGCACGCGTAGCCTCCTCGCAGACATCCTTGGGGTTCGTTCATCATGCATCCATTTCTCTGTGAGGGAGAAATGAATGCGTGGCCAACGAACCACAAAGATTGGCAATCGGTTTTTGTTTTCAAAATTAGCAAACATTGAATTTACTTGCCCCAAAAATTTGAACTGGTTGCTCCTTCAACTTGATAGTAATTTATTTTGCAATTTCAAAACAATTTGACAGCTGATTTTTGAGCGACTTTTAGTTACGGACTTCTGCTCCAAAGATTTTTCTGAAATTTCGCTGGCATATTTATTATATCAACGTTCAGTTAAACAGTTTGCAGGTTTGAAATAAAACCTTGGGATGGATTTGTGGACCTTTGGAAGTGCGGACGCATCCATTGCCTCCACCTGGTTCGGCTTGTGTAATGCAACACTTTAAAGTTGTAGTTCTTCAACCTACAGTGGTTTCAAGTTTTGGGTGTTTTGCGCTTTGGTCTTCGTTTTCGAAACCACCCTCACTGGCAGGGCCTTACTTCTGAAACTGTATGTTCACCAGCGTTCGGTACATCGGTACAAGCTTATCGATAGAGTAAATTAGTAAAATCCACCTAGTGGGCTATTATCAATGCTGCGTTCTGATTGGTTGAGCTACTACTAGGCTATATGTTATAGCCCACTAATAGGGAAAACCGCAGGCTTTTTGGCGGCAAAAAAGGCTTAAAGTCTAGCTTTTGACTAGCTAAAATTTTTATATTCTTGATATTTTTGACCAGCTAGTTGTATTTTACTAAAACAATTGTTCCTCTCGCCCTCATGGCCTCTGAGTCAATATTGACTCACAGGCCATTCGAGCTCGAGGAATAATTGTTAATAATGCGTTAAACACGCTCACCCTTGGCGACTTGGCGGGGGTGATAAAGGGCCATCCGTTGTGGTGTTGCGGTCCACAAATGCTCCACAGCTGGAGGAAACAGGTGTATTAACCCACGCATTTGGCTGTTGTTTTTAAAATTTCACTGCAAATTTTGGGTCTGCAAGCAAGGCGTCCAGCGGTATGTTGGTAGACCCTGGTAGGTTGTTCATATATGATTATTATAATGTACCTAAACGTACCTGGCGTACCAGATTGTCATTATTTATTATTATGACAGAAGACCAACTCCACGCGGGATAAATCATGAATGATTTTATTCACTATAAAAAGTATTAAGTAATTAAGATAGCTATGATAATAAAATTAATCCCTAGATTGGCACTGTAAAAATGANACTGTTATATAACAGTTGTATAGAACTATTATATAACTGTTATGTAACAGTTCTATATATCTGTTATATAACAGTTGTATAGAAGTGTTATATAACAGTTATATAGAAGTGTTATATAACAGTGATATATAACTGTAGCACACTAAAACTCTTTTTTGGTATGATCAAATTAAACTCTATCTTAAAAACCAGGCCATACAGATCGAGAGCGTCCTTTCCTAGAATGTTTATTCTGAAATTAGAGCAGGATATGAAACCAGACCAACTGCACAAGCGAGATTTGAAGAACAGTTTCCTGATATATGCCTTGATTGGCGTGATATTTATAAATTGCCTTTTAATGTTCTCATAGACACCAAATTCAGAGAATTCCAGTGTAGAATTTTAAACAGGTACTTGACAACAAATTCTTTTCTTGATAAAACTGGTCTAGCAAATTCACCATTATGCACATTTTGTTAACAAGAGAGTGAATCCCTTGAGCATTTGTTAATTATATGTTCCTGTACTAACAGCTTCTGGTCGGACTTTATTACTTGGAGTAATCAATTAAACATATCCTTCAGAGACCTTTCAGACAGCGATAAACTTTTTGGATTTTGGCAAAGGACAGGAGACCACTTGTTTATTAATCACATGTTAGTCTTAGCTAAGCAACATATTTATGAATGTTGTAACAAATGTACCTATCCTTCCTTTACAATTTTATTAAATAAAGTCAGTTATGTTCATCAGTTAGAAAAGAAACTTATGAATTCAAATAACAAAGTTGCCAATCAGGAAAGTAAATGGGAAAAGTTTCAGTTATTCTGCCGTGGTAGTGAGAATTAGAATGCAAAAAAAACTTATATCCTATTTTATAGTAGTAATTGTACCTAAACAGTCTTTGTGTCAGCCATTATTTATGTATAGTAGGAAGTGTCTTTTGTGTACTTGTAGTAGTATTTTATTGGTATAGATGTAGTAGTGCTTGTGCAAAAGAATAAAGGAAAAAAATTAAATGATAAAAAAATATAACTGTTATATAACAGTTATATATAACTGTTATATAACAGTTATATTGTTATATATTGTTATATAACTGTCATACAACAGTATAACAGTTATATACTGTTATATAACTGTTATCAGATGTATGTAAACAGTTATATGATGTCAGACGTCTGGTAACAGTTATAAAAATCAGACGTCTGATAACAGTTATATGACATTAGACGTCTGATGTCAGGCATCTGCTGTCATGTAACTGTTATCGGACGTCTGATTTTATATGTTATGTTGTATAACTGTTATCAGGCGTCTGATGTTTTATCTTATCTTATATAACTGTTATCAGACGTCTCATGTCTAATATCAGACGTCTTATAACAGTTATATGACAGTAGATGTCTTCTGATGACAGCAGTCATATAGCTGTTATCAGCCGTCTGATTTTATATGTTATGTCATATAACTGTTTTCAGACGTCTGATTTTATGTTATGTTATATAACTGTTATCAGACGTCTGATGTTATATGTTATGTTATATAACTGTTACCAGACGTCTTATGTTATATGTTATGTTATATAACTGTTATCAGATGTCTAATGTCTAATATCAGACGTCTGATAACAGTAATATGTCAGCAGACGTCTGATATTAGACAAAAACTTCAGACGTCTGATAACAGTTGTAGGACAGGACACGTATGATAACAGTTATATGATGTCAGAAGTCTGCTAACAGTTATATGACATCAGACGTCTGATGTTAGACGTCTGCTGTCATATAACTGTTATCAGACGTCTCATGTTACATGTTATGTTATTTAACTGGTATCAGACGTCTGATGTCTAATATGAGACGTCTGATAACAGTTAGATGACAGCAGATGTCTGCCTTGATATAACTGTTATCACACGTCTGATGTCTGATGTCTGATGTCTTTGTATGTTAAACCGGCTCTTAGAGCGTTTTCACTCACGTGGCCAGCATCAATTCTAATTTACTGGAACAAAAGAAAGCGTTTACGTAAGAAAAGAGTTCAACTCTTACAGGACTTGTTTGGGACACCAACATGGCCACCGTGACGTCATGTGAAAACACTCTACATGTATATAAGTACGAGTAACACTTATTATGCTATACCGGTGCGTGTTTTTTTTCTTTTCTTCCCGGTTTATTCTGAAATTTTAACCGCCTCTTCGATATGGCCCCGCCAACTATACCGAGTAGTAACCAAGGAGACGTCATAAACTGCAGCGAAGAGTTAAAGGATATTACATGGCCGCTCGGAGATACGAAATTTCTCTTCGAGTGTTGAAAAATATTTCACGAGTGAGGGCAGCGATATTTCACGATTGAGCGCAGCTCACTCGTGAAATATTTTTCAACACTCGAAGAGAAATTTCGTATCTCCGCGCGGCCATCTATCTCTACCTTTTTGCTACAGTTAATAATGCACCTCAATTGTTTGTCCCCCAGACCTCTAAAAATACTTTTTTTCAAGTTCCACTGGGTATTTCAATCTCCCCAAGAGAAATTGAGCGAAATTCCGGCCGCCGGGTGAACAAGACCTCTACCAACTCGTGACTTGTAAAGTGTAAATATAGCTAGGAAAACTCTTGAAACCGGGTTTATTCAATGACCACTCCGAGGTGTACAAATTAAATTGTGCTCATCAGGTGCGCTCCTCACTTAATTCACCCTATATTCCCTCAGTATTTTGCCATGGGAGTGTTGAGGGTTGGGGGGAGGGTTGGGGAGAGGGGGAGGCGATACATGTCCAGCAGCTAATTTAAACAAGACAGTGGCGGATTCAAGGGTGGAGCCCGGGACCCCCCTAATTCTTAGACCAAACTGAGGCCCAAAACCCTGAAGGGACCAAAAAAAAATTTTTGGAGACCGCAACAACCACCTCCGTCCCCCTTATCTCACGGTCTGGAATGAAAACAAGCAGAATGTCACCAAACAAAACATTCATGTTTCTAACAAACCCCCTAGCGGAAATGTTAAAATACAAAAAGTAATAGCAAAACTTGAATTTAGACTACGAGTAGTCCCCCATTTTTCCTCAGGGATAGTAGAGCGAGCGAAACGCAAGTGCGCGTGAAAATCACCCCACGCGAGGAAAGGCGACACGCGGCGTGTCGCCTTTTCTCGCGTGGGGTGATTTTCTGGCGCGCTTGCGTTTCGCTTGCTCTACTATCCCTGGGGAAAAATGGGGGACTACTTGTAGTCTAAGTTGAATTCGAATGCTTTGAAAAAAGAAAGAGGAAGGCGGCAAGAAGTAAATACTCTAGGACTTAGTTAATTAATAACTTATTAGGCCATATTGGCGTCCCAAAACCATGAAACAGCGGCCATGTTGGTGTTCCAAACCAATTGTTTGGGAGTTGAACTCTTTTCTTATGCAAACGCTTTCTTTTGTTCCAACAAATTTGCATAGATGCTGACCACGTGAGTGAAAATACTCCAAATAAAAAAAAAACATGTAAATGTATGATCGGGAACCCCCCCTATCTCAATGTCTGGATCCGGCACTGCAAGAAAATATTTTTGTATAAGAAAAAGGCTCAACTCTCCAGAACTGGTTTGGGAAACGTACACGGCGGACGTAACGTCATAATAACACACTCAAGAAGCTGTCACATTCACCCACTGGTGCACTGGAATTTTTGTTGTTGTTACCAAGCTCAAAAACAAAATTCCAACAGGCATATGCTACAGCCATATGCGTATGCTGGAATGAATCCACCCCTAGAAAAGTATTAAAGGATTCTGATCAATGAAGGCAAGGTCACATTCTACTTTCCAATATTGCAGGCTCCTGTTTCAGCAAGGTGTATTTCAAGGACTTTACTTGCTTAGTTTGAGGTGGGTACAATTTTGATAAATACTGTAGCTGGCTATATGGAACAATTTCTAATATAAACACCAAAGCATGGTTATCTATTTAAATTTTGTCTCATAAGAAACGTTGGGTTGTTTTCAAATTACGTTACAAGGTGAAGAGACAAAGGCTAAGGTGGAACGACAAGATGTTTTATTTAGACAGGCTTATTAAGTATACAATCTTCTAGCCCAAAAACACTAATGAACAAACGCAGAACAAATCCAAAACAAGGAAATTTACTTTTTTCTTCCTCAATTTTGTACTGAAAAGTTACAGTTACAGGTGGAGAGTGCACTCCAGTATTGAAATGCTACAAAAATTTGCCCTCCTCAGAAGCGCCACAATCCCCCCTCAGGTCTCCGCGATTTTCCTGCAACGAAAAAATTAGCCTGCGTAGCTGGCGGTATTGTGTGCGAGATTAAAGTTTTGGCGGCGGAGCTGTGTTCCAAAAAAAGGGAGTAGGCACGCGGCGGTTGAAAAAAAGATTTACTCGGTCAAAGTTTAGAATGATGCATGCACTGTGTAGTGCTAGTAACCTTCGCGCGAGAGCCAAGAAAATTAAAAAACCTCTGTTCAAGCAAACTCAGAAGGTCATGTTTCACATTATCACGAGCTTAGGAGTCGTGTTTAGCCTGTCAACGCTTATTTCTAAACTGCCTCGCGCGAAAATAATCAGAAGTTTCAAATTGCAGGTTTCTCTTTGATTGGCTGATTTAATTGGGATCAGCTATTTTAAAAGGTGACAAAAGTGCGCGGCATTCGAAAACTCATGGTTCTCAGGCAGTAGGCTTTTGTACATTATGCTTTTGCTTCCCCACTAAAATGCTCTACCTTAATGCTCTATTTTTCCCACTAAAATGCTCGGTCTCCCCAAAAAAGTCACTAAAATGCTCGGATAATGCTCATTATACAAACGGCTTTTTAAATTAATTTCAAAGTTTACACTTACAAAAACGTGCAAGTGTTGCAAGTAACAACGACAACGTGTACAAGTTCATAAATACAGCCAAAAAAAACCAGCTGTATTAGGTTTTTTGTGAATTTTGAGTTTTAGTCTTCATTTTGTTTAAAAACGCAGGAGCTCATGGGGCATGGGCTCCTGAAAAAGTTAATTTCTATTTTATTTTCTCGGAAAAAATTAATTTTCCGGGGAAAATGCCACTAAAATGCTCGAATAATGCTCAATGCTTTTGCCTCACTAAAATGCTCCAAAAAATGCTAGCATAATGTACAAAAGCCTATCAGGCAGGCGGTATTTCTCGCGGCTTCGCCGCTCGTAGCGCGACGTTTGAAACCAAGTAGTGCTACTGCCGTGCCGAACTCAATTCATAAATTATAAATACATTAGAATACATATAAAAGTTTGCTAAACCGTTTCTTTATTTTTGTGTTTTGTTTTCGGCAACAGCCGTTCTATTCGACTGAATTAAATTCGACCTCTGAAACCAAGTCGTGCTAGTGTAGTGCTTCAGTCGAGCCAGTTTAGCACGGCAGAAGCACGACGTTTGAAACAGGCCTGACTCTCCTTCTGGTGTGGAGGAGAGCTAAATTTGCTTCTTTGAAGGCCAGTAGAAGCAATTTTATTTTTGACTTTTTCTAGAGACAAATAAATTTTTTGTCCTTTTTGAGTAGAAGCGGGCAAGCGTGTAAGTGTTAATTGCATAAATAGAAGCGTGTGCCTACGAATACAATAGCACGTACGACATCAACATGTTAAAGGTTGTTTTTTACACCACTTGCCAAAAAGTACCGAGATTTCAAACAATATATTAATTATCGTTTTAGGGAAAACGCTCGTCATTTAACTTTTGGAAAATCGTGAATTAAAAATCTGGAAATAGTCTTCAGGAATCATGAAAATAGAAAGGAGAACCAGGATTCAGACGTTCTTTAAAGTTCGTGAGGTTTAAGTGTGTAATAATAAAGTTTATTATATGGAGGAGAGTGTTTTACTGGGAACTAAACCACTCGTAGATGCCATACGCCACTTCATCCGGGACCCGAGTGGCGTATTTTCCGTATGTCACCTTTGTGAGACAGCATACCAAGTTACTTCAGTGCTAAGGGCGGAAAACGAAAACAACTTAACCAAAGAGGTATATTATTTTTCTTGTAATGTGCAACCGAGCTTCTATACATAAAATACAACTCGTGGCAAGAACAATATTGTTCTTGCCACTCGAACATAAAATTCATATCTTCTCGCCACCGTGTAATATCCTCTATGTATATAGTGACCCCATGTTTATTACATACCACCATTGATTATGAGAGTATACTCCTCGCAAAGAACCGTTTCATTCAAAGGGGGGAATTTCATATATCCCATGATGCATCGCGGCTAATTTCTGTCTTCTCTCCGCGGTGGAAAGAGCGTTCGAGGGTTTTGAGGGAGATTTTCAAGATGCAGCACATCCAAGGTAAGCTTCTATGAGCCCTGTTAATCTTTGATATCTGATTAATAATGTAAAATGTTTCCATGGTCATTTCACGCATTATTGCTCTCGTTTACGACCCTGTTAACCCATGCTGTTTGAACTCGCAAGTGATTATTTATTTAGATGACTTTCAATTATCGAAAACTGTCTTTATTCTAGCAAGGTTTTGCCCTAATAAATTATTTAAATCAGCGGACAAGGGCTGCTTGATACTAGTTTCACGCTCCGACCTCTTTCGACCTCGCGATTTTTATGGGTTTGATCGTTCTACCCTTTCTCCGCTAAGATGCAAGACGAAGGTTTCAATTTCTTTATGCTAAATCCTGGGTACATCATCAGAAAAAGGGTAATAAAATAACACAGGAGAGTACCAGTTGTGCAAATACATTTAATTTATTAAAAGTCGTTTGATTTTGTAATACTTTTTTCTGATCTGAATAAAAGATAATGGAATGAAATTGTGACCGAGTGACGGAGGGGAGAGAGCAACATAGGCGTACGGGAAATTTTTTGCTAGGGGGAGGGGGATAAACATTTGCCCCCAAAAATCTCGCAAGTTGCCGAAAAATATTTACGAAAGAGTCGAAAAGAAACGAGGGTCATATTGCAATAACATGGGCTGCACTGGCATATGAACGTGGCTCGATACAGTTTTTGTGGGTCAATGCCCCGGGGTCAATGCCAAGTCTAAGTTAAATTACGTAGCCCTAAAGAAAAAAAAAATTGCCACCACAGTCGTATTAAGATGATAATTTGTCATGATCAGGGCTGCAATGACATCGGAGTTGTTATAGCAGCGAAATGATGCCATTGCCCATTTTACTTAAGCAATAATTCTCGGCACTGGGAACCTTGTAAAATCATTTACAGGAGCTTTTTTCTCCGATATGGTCGCCTCGATGTTCATGAAGTTTAAGCAAAATCTGTGAGAGCGTTATCGAGATATTTTGAGATGAAGTTTTTATTATTGTTTTAAATATTACAGCAAGGAGCCCAAAAGTGTGACCACCTTTAATTAATTCACATTCTTCCATGAAGGCGTTAACCAATCAGAAGTCGAGGACAGTTTCCAGCTGGCTTCTGATTGGATTTAATCTGCATGAAAGAATGTGAATAAATTAAAAGCGGTCACACTTTTGGGCTTCTTGCTGTAATAGTAAATGTGAGTGTGAAAAATGTTTGACGGTTATTAACACGCATACTGATGCTCTTTCTTCTGGGTCACAGTTCGTGCACTATCGTAAGGGAACACGTCTTCTTGCCTTCATATACTTTTTTCCTTCCGCCAATGCCGGTAAATAATATTTATTGCTTAAGTAAAAACAAGTTTCTTTTATGTGTATATAATAATGGGTTCTGTTTGCTCACTGATGCATTACCCGGCATTCACACTTTCCACTTTCCCGTGAACTTGAAACTTGACTTGGAAAACCGACTCGCAAACAAACCTTCTCCAGAAAAATGATCTTCTGAATGCACTACTTTTTGAATGAGAGGCAAACTGATGAAAGCTATCAAATTTAAAAATACTCCTGCGGGAAATTTTTTTGGCAGCTAATTGCAGAATGAAGCGCTTTGACTGGCAGCTTTTTGCATTGTTGTTTAGTGTGTCCAATGAGAACTTTAGTTTTTCCCTTAAAAAATGTTTTTCTAAATTGTAAAATGTCTAAAATGTATGTTAATCATTCAAGTGGTGCGGTGGACTTAGAAAAAATTATACAGTGTGGCAGCGCTGAGAGCAAAACAGCAAAACTAGTTGAAGACATCGGGAGTGAATATTTCATTGAACTCAAAGCGTTACAGAACCTTGAGTATTTGGACATTTTCACATGACTTTAACCAGTTGTATGTAGTTTTTACCATTGTGTTCAAACAAAAACGATTGTCTGTTATTAGGACCTTCATTCCGTTAGCTTCACTTAAATTCCTTATTTCATCATTGTGAGTTGACTTTCAAGACAAAGGCATTTATAATCAAAAGGTGAACACTGAATTATTGTACTAGTGTGTCAAGAGTATCTTACCAGGTCTACTTATAGTTCACACTTTTACGGTTATTTATTGATGTTGATAAGTTACTACAGCTGATTTTAATGAATAAATAAAGCCAGTAATTTATTAACTTACAGTGTAATTAAGAAAGGAATAATTAATTAATATTTTTTCCTTCTGCTCACAAACAAATTTTTTTCAGGCTAGTAGATGTTAGTTACAGCTTGCCCAAAGGGCACGCTGTAAAATTGACTTTCTTTGCACCCTGCTTAACATCATTACTTTTCTTCCATCAGAATTGTCAAATTGGAGAAACACTGATTTCTACTCATTCCATGTTATTCCACTCAATGAAACAATCTCTAATTTATCTTGTCAACTGGGTTGCTTAGAAGTTGATTCGTTAAGGCAAAATTTAGCCACTGGGTAAATTTAATACGTTTTAATTACTGTTATGGCAGCAAACATGTATCAACAGATACATGTATGGTTGCACTTAAGTTGCTGGAAGGTGAATTTAAAGGTCTGTTGAGCTTTGTGCGAGACAGAATATTAAAGCATGTTTACAGAATTAATTTACTCTGTACAGCTTAAAAAAAAATCAGCTCTTGTTCAATCTTCTAAAAATACAATTAAGCGGCATACTTCCGAGTTAAAGTCAATATCTAAATACCAATTTCGTAAAATTTTATACTTCACTTTGAAGCTGAGGTGAAACATAATCAATTCACTACGTTGTGTCGTCTGCAATAGCCAAATTACTCGGTCATAAATGTCTTCAACCAGCAGCCACACCAAAATATGAACCCTTATACAGCTGCATCACTGTACTTACTGTTTGAATCATGAAGATATTTAAATGTTGTGCTTCTAAACACCTTTAGCCGTAATAAAAGACAACAAAATTGTGAAGAACCAAAATGGTGGTCTCAAAGTGCCCTGGTTTGACCTTTGGCACAGGAATGTCATGTTTAAATGCCAAAATCTCATTGGTTCCTAAGCATCAACTTGTAGTACCTCCAACCTTATTGGCCCCTGCAACACACATCCAAACAGACAAAGCCACAAAGATAGCTATGCTCACACCACTTTGAAATGAGCTATTTTTTCAAAATAACTCAATAACAGACTTGCACAAATTTATATAGTTTAGGACAAAGAAGTCAAAAACCATACCCTGTCAAGTTGCACTTTCCTGTATGGGTCCTATAGGAGAGTACCAACAACCTCCCCCAACAACTTCTCCAAAAAAGTACTCATATATATATCTGAACAAACTATGAAAGTACAACAATCAACTGTGTGGGTTGTTGGAAAAAACAGGTGGTTATTGTGCCAGAAGTGTAACTGAATATTTTGCTGACACTGACATGATGATAATTATAAAAGGAGAGATAGTGAGATAGGAGAAGTGAGAAAAATACAAAAATTTTGGAAAGAGGTTACCAACTATGGCTATCATGTTCTATTTTTAACAAAGTTATTTTCTCATAATTATTTTCAGGGTCAAAAAGAAAGAGCAGCAAAGGTTCAACTCCCCAGCAGGACATTCATGAGGACCTCAACCCCAAAAAAGTTAGATCAAGGTAATTCATCTGTACGTAACAGACATATAACAATTTGAGAAGAGTGCTTGCAGGGCAAGTGAAACACGTGACAGTTATGAAAAAACTGATAAACTTGTGGCCCTCCTCATCATCTTCTTGGAAACAATTTTTTTGCATTTTTCAGTGTTCTTTTTATTTGTGCTAAATATTACCATGGCCCTATTAAACTATTTTCGAGCAACGTATAATCAATAGCACTATAACCAGTTATTTGTTTTGATACAAGGTCTACTTTCCTTTTTTGGGGGCAACTATTGACACAAAATAAAAGGCATAATAGAAAATTATGGGCAAAGGGAGTAGCGCGCTTTTTTGCCAACAGTAGCAAAGTCCTGATCCTCTTCGATGATGTTCCCATAGACTGTTCACAGTCCCCTATTTTTTCATGAGATCGTTGAGATATAGCACGTCTTACCGTTAATGACAGCCATCTTGATTTTCAAATCTACCGAGGGTGGGTCTCAGGATTATAGCTTTAGGAGGAGGGGGGCCTCACCATCCTGCTGCCCCCTAAGTAGTTTCGACACTCATGCAAGATGGCAGCCCGTAACGCAGAGCGCTCGATCCGACGATCTTATGGAAAAATAGAGGACTGAGAACAGTCTAATGTTCCCACAGGCCATCATACTTGTACCAACCGGTGGCCTGTGGTATCAGGGGCAAAGGTAGCTACATTGTTGATTTAAAATGATTGCCATTGCCATAAGTCACTCCAAATAATTTAAAAGTAGTAATTAAGTGACCCATTTATAGCTTTGATGGTAATATATTGTCAATGGAAGCTAAGGCATGTCAACAATAAATGGCGAGGAAAGTGGCATTCCTTAAATGAAAACCCTCTGAGATTCTGACCTTAAGCCGTGGCGAAATGGAGATCTTTTAAGCTGCTGTTTACCTTGGGGAGCCGGGGGGGTGGGTACTTGAGTTTATGTTTGCTGTGTATGTGCCGCTGGAGCCCCTACACCATTATAGTCTACTTATTGGCCAATTGTAGACCCCATCTTAGTCACTTTTTGGAAAATGTAATTTTCATGATCCCAACTTAGTCACTTTCTATTTATTCATCTACCTTATCAATGTGGTTTCAAGCGGCGAAATGTAATGCGGTCAATGCGAGCTTATTGTTAAATTTAATAAACAACAGCTTTCTGATTTTTTAACCGAGAATCTTCCCATTTTGAATCCCTACTTGCTCCAAAAATCTGAAAATTAACCACCCCATTCTAGGAAATCTGTTGAAAATGCGACCCCATTATAGTCACTCTAGTCATGAAAATGCGACCCCTCCAGCAGCACATCCCTATTAGCCTCTTGTAAGGGAGTATCCCCCAGGGCTGTTTACGAAGGCAAGGTGGAAGAGTCGATCAGAGAAAGAGACATCTTGAGGCTATTTTCAGCTGTATTAGCTTATGCATCACTGAGAAATATTTCTGAAGAAATATTTTTATATTTTTTTCAATATTGCTCATTCCCACCCCCCTCCCACCCTCGCCAGAAAAATAATGGTCCGTTCCTTAAAATATTCTTTTCATGTCCAACTCTTTGGGTGGATCATTTGCAAGAATATTTTTGGTGGAAAGGAAATCACATTTCTTAAGATTCTATTAAAATTCATATCTACCCTATGTTAATCTCCTTTTAAAGCGTTTATATAGCAGGCAGTGCTATAAAATCAATATTTTTGTATAGGAGAGCAGCTGAAGGATTATAACTCTAACCCTGACCCTGACCCTGTTTAAAAAAAGAATTCATGAAATAAATACCCTGTTTAGGACAACACACTCAATTTTATTACTCTAGTTAGGACATAGGGAAAAATGCATGCCGTTTTATTTTAAATTCATTTAAAACAAAAGGTTTTGTATATTGCCCAGGCATACCCTGTGGACAGACTCGCACAAATTTATATGCCCTGTAGTACAAAGAGGCAAAAAACAATGCCCTGTGGTCCAGCGGCAAATTCCCACCCAGATTCCCCTACAGGCCATATAAGACCATAATTATAAGGGAGCATCCTCCTGGATCTAAATTTGGTTTTAATGATAGAAAAACGTGTATAGCCGAAACTTGCAAAAGGTTAAAATAGTGAATATCCAGGATGATGTTACTACCACTACACAACAAGTAGAACATTTATCATTTAACGCTTTGACTGAAAAATTCTCTCGTGATTTAAAGCATTTCCCATGAACTTATGTGCAGAAAACGTAACATTGTCAACCTTCCTCGAGTTTTTTAAAAATAGATTCAAATAATTATATACGGGTAAAGAATCAATTTTCTCCTTGTAATATCAATGCTTTGTAAAACAGAGTGGTCATAAGAACAACGGACATGATCGCACAAGAGGAATTTACTTGGTATTTTGCCAACTTCTCCCCACTACTACTGTAGGAAGTGTGTAGTGGCAACAAATGAGAATTCAAATTTTGATCTTAGGGTTTGAGGGGTTAAAAGCTAAACCAATTTGTATCCTTATTTCAGGCGTCCCAGGCTCAAGCGGCATTGCTGCGGCCAGCCCAGGTAAAGTATGTCGGAATCAGTTTTTGTAATTGCACGTAACATGTCTACTTTACAGTCTTTATTGTCATTCAAAATTCAAAAATGTTTTTCCTCATAGGAAAAAATATTAATTTGCGCACATCTTTTACTATCTCTTTCAAGAGAAGTAAAGTATACAAACTCATATTAAATGTGCCCGTTAAAATAAAAGCCAATATTCTGTTATATTATTCCCGGCTGGAAATTATCTTGTTGGAATCGGGTAAAACCAGACATAACTAATAGATGATGAATGACATTAATGAGCAATCAATGAGTAATCATTGGGTACATGAACTGATTAGTCATTGATTATTAGCTATAATCAATGGGTAATCAGTGACTAGTCGATGGCCAAGATTTTTGTGGTCTATTGTTTATTCATTGATGATTCATTGATGAGTAATTGATGCGTTTGACTTTTTATTGATGATTATCTTATGATTACCCATCGATTAGTCATTGATTACACATCTCGTACAATTTCTAACCAATTTTTTTTTTCTGAACTTATTGCAAGTGATAAAAATTTACGTTAATGGTTCTTGTCGATAATAATAGCCAATTAGGAATTAAGCTTGCATGTACAAAACAAATGTATATAGGTCATGATGAAAAGAGAATGGAAAATCAAAGATGATGATGATGATGAGAAAGGTCATCTTAACACTCTTTTATTTAACGGGAAATGAAGAACAAGGATGGGTAATGGAAACATGAAAAATGGTAACACAACTGAGAAATGGAAATAAAGTTACTGATTTTCTACCGAAACCAAGAGGCTTAAGCAGTCCTTTAATGACAACGTATTATTTTGCGCAGTTTTGTTTCTTTAGAGGCTATTACAGTTGTAAAACACGGGAAAGAAAAATCCAAGTTGGGACCCAGTAAAGATCTAATTAAGCGAGTAAAACATCTCACATACAATTATGTACGGAATACTAGGCTTTACTAACAACGCCTTCTCATTTTTTTGCAGACTTGAAAGAAGAAAATGAGTTATTAAAAGAAGAAATTGAAAAATTAAAAGAAGAAAACAAAAAGTTAAAAAACGAAAACAAAAATTTTAAAAATGAAATTAAAACTATAAAACGAAAACACACCAAGGAACTAAAAGAACTGAGCAAGAGAAAGAAAAATTAAATGAATAATGTGGAAGGTAAGTTGCTAAAAGTAACAATTTTATGGACAAGTACTATATATTATGCTGTACATCATGGTTCTAACTTTGGAACCCTTTTAATAAACAGCACCACAGAAAAGTACTGCTTAGTAGCTTTCATTTGAATGGTCACACTTTAGAACACCATGCACAAACTCAAAAGTTAGACCTGTCTTGTATAGTATAATAAACAGTAAAACAGGAAAGTGCTGGTCAAGTAGCTTTTATATGAATGGTCACACTTTAGCGTTTCATCGAAAAGACTCAAAAGTTAGAACCACCTTGTACAGCATAATAAACAGTAGAACAGGGAAGTACTACTCAGTAGCTTTCATTTGAATGGTCACACTTTAGGATTTCATCCACAAACGTCTTAAAAGTTAGAACCTTGTGAGACTCCCTTCCACTCACTGGAAAGGAAAAGAATTGACGCTTTAGTGACTCCCACTCGGCTGGTTTGGCAAACTTGAATAAAACTGAGAATTGAATGAATGGCATAAGGAATTTTCATTATTTTTGGATTAACCTGGCATAAAACAACTTAACGACAGGGTTAGGGTTAGGAAGTGAACACTTTGTTACCCATTAAACATATTTATTTGCTACGATTATGATTTAAACTCTTTACTGGGTTGTAACCTAATGATTGCCACAATATGTTATGTTTCAGATTGGACATTTCCACTGCCGAGAAGTGCAGTCAAACATACTTATAGGCATATATACGGCAATGGACATTTTTAGTTTGTATATTTTGTTTTCCCATTTCACACCACGTGATGGTACCCAGTGTTGCCTTATGCACATGCATCCACTTGCAAATGTATGCATAACTAATTAAATGACAAAAGGCAAATTCCCCGGAGAACATCACTGAATTGGGAAAACAAACCAAATTAAACAAGCTAAAAAGGTTTGCCAACTCGAGGGCAAAAAAAAAAAGAAAAAACAAGTAAATAATATCATCAGTTTATTAGTTACTCTCAGCTTTTTTCATCACAATTTGTCCAAAAAAAGATACTTACTATAAGGCTATGGCCAAAATTCACCGAGATATAAAGAGTAATTGAGTATTGCTCTTTAGTTACAACTTGAGTCTCTCTCTTATTATTATTTAATACTTAAAAGTATATACACACAGAGTGCATGATCACAATAAAAGACAAACAGAAACCATTAATGTATGATTTTATTAAGAGATCCTTTTTCATGCCTGGAAAATGCACATGTTGCGGTATACAATAGTAAATTCGTAAAAGTTCTAAACAGCTAAACCTTCAAAACATCTAAGATTCCCTGAATTGCATCGAATTTTTAAAAGTTTCGACTCAAAAATTCCACTTGGTGGAAGGTTAGTCTCCAAATATTTATTATTCATTCAAAGTATTTCGCCATATGATTCGTTTTACAAGCCTCCAGTTCCATAGTATAGTAAATATATATGGAAACGAGATTGGAATCGGTGGTTTTTCTGATGCCGTTAATCAACCTCGTTTCCACATTGGACGCCTGGCTGTTTATTCACGTGTCAACTAAACAAAATAACTACTCAAAATTTTTTACCTTATTTGCAAGATTACGCAAAAAATATTGCTCGATGAATGTTATCTGCCTTTGTGGAATCTCTGCAAGAAATATCATCTATAAATATCCTGAAGCCGTACCAAAATCTTAACAAAGCCGACAAGGTGGTAAGCTTTATAAAGATTGTTACAAAGCTTAATTAGTGCAGCTGATTAATGGCAATTTTTTTAATTAATAATTTAATAATATTTGAATTCGGCTTCCGTTCTAGTTTGATGCGATGAATTATGTATCTCAGAGTGCAGATCCTTGATCTACATCATAACAAGGTTATTTTCATACTATAGATCAAACAAATAACGGGAAAGAAATCCGATAGGCTTCTGCGTTTAGTAGCTGTGGGATTGTCCAGGAAAAAAGATTATGAACAAAACTGCTGTGTTGCAGTTACCTGCCTCCCCTGCTGGCTTAAAATGGTCTCCTTTAGGGACGATTAAAAGAGGATTGGGCTGTTCCCATATTGGTCTTTGTAGGTTTAATTCAAAATTTCCAACAAACACTTGAGAGATTGGTGCAGTACAAGCATGGTCAAAGCTTTGCTCTGTTGCAGATAGCGCCCCAAATTCACTGTTGCTATGTGTAAACAGCACAAAATCTATATGAATAGTGTGACCATTATCTATTGGCTGACTTTCAAATAAAAAAGATTGCTTAAAAAACCAAATTATTGAGAGTGTGTATATACTTATCTGAAGTACTATACTGATATATTTATTTATGAAAAATGTGCCTGATTTTCATGAGACAGGGTAATTAATGTAGATCTGCACCTGCATGCATGCTTATTATTTTTTACCTTAGGCAGTTAGGTATTGAAAGCTCTAATCCTCGGAGCCCAATACACTGCATTTGATCGAGGAGTACGTTCCCTGGTTTTTTGTCCCAATGGGTTTTTTTTCTGGGTTTTCGTACTGGGCAGTGTATCATTGCATTGTATTTTTTCTAGGTTAAATGTCTCTTAAGCCTTAATTCTTTTTCAATTTTAATTTTTTTTTGTTAAATTTATTTGAACTTTTTTCATATTTCGTTTGCTTTATTTTCCTATACTTTCCATAAATTCTGTAATTTTGATTTGTTCAACACTGACGTATTTCATTTCATGCACCTTTTGCTTTGTATGTAATAATTTTTATTGGTATCATGGATTTATTTGCCCTTGAGTTGTTTGCCTTCTTAATATTAGATGTTAACTTAATTTAGCCTTCAACTAAATCATGTAAAAAAATTTTTTTTCCCATATTTTGTTAATATTAAATTTAGTTTCATTAGACAGTAGGAACGTACCATAGTTGGTAAAAAAAGAAAAAAGTTTTGCATGCATTTTCTATGTTACTTGTATATATTTTTCAAAATATCTTTCATTTACTTTTTTCTCTTATACTCCATTTCTGACAGCTTGTGAATAGTTATTATTAATTAATTAGTTAATCTAGATTATAGCTGTGTTGTGTATAAAAATAGGCAATGTAAGAAGGATTAAAGAAAGGATTTTATTTTTAAATCAAGATTTCAGTAATCTCTTTATTTATAACCACGAAATCCTAGCAAATACAGCCACAGGTTTTGTCTCCTTTACAAGCTCAAAACGAAAGAGCTATTCATCCTCCTGAGTTTATACCTTTATGAAGTATTCGGTAAGAGCAGCCTAAAACCAATATTTTTATACGGAGAAGCTCCGCCAGGAGGTCCAACCCGTTACCCTTTTATATACCATTTTTCACGAAAAAGGTGCCCCTTTTGTATACCTTCTATTGACAAATGGTACCCCTTTTACATACCTTGTTTAGAATCTTGCATTCGTTTTAACTGCTGTAAATGCACTGTCGTTTAAGTAGGAGTTAATCAGAAAAATAGAACGTTTTCTTGACTTTATAAAGCCATAAAATTCATCTGTTAGCTGTTTGGGCCCTTTCACAGAGCCAAATGACAGATTTTCCTACCCTCTCGTATATTTCAGCTATTAAAATCCCTACCCTTTCATGTACCTGAAGCCTCTAAAGGTGCCCCTTTTAGGCGGAGCCTCCCTGTATAGGCTATTATAATGAATACCCCTCCCCCGTGTCAGAAGTGATATTTTGATATCACTTTTGAGCAATTTTGAAGGAATTTGAGCTCGCTGTTTTTAACTGTTCCTGTTCATAGAAGGGCTATTTATTTAAAGGAAAATACCACTTCTTAAGGCAAAAGGATGACAATTTACCTTTTGATACATGTACTTTTTTTAGTGATATATGTTGTGCTACAGTTCAAAAGGTAAATACAGTACATTTACCTTAAAATTATATTGGTTTGTTAGCAAACAGTTCATGTGGGTGCCCTGTGATTAACTAGATAATTTTTTAACATTAATAAACTCTTCCAATTGGCAGTGTTTTCGTATTAAGGCTCTATGCCAGGTACCACACAGAAAACACACAAAACGTAATGGGCAAAATTCTGGTGGCAGGGAAGCGCTTAAATCTAGGGGTGAGGGTACCAGGAGAGAAGCCCTCCTATGGGGGAGACAAGATCAAGTGGTACCAGGGGTAGTCATCCTGGACAGGAGTCCTGATCAGTCTCCGGGGGTGAGGCCCATATCCCCCGGCCAGTACAGGAACTAAGGGGAACCAGGAGGGGTGGCACTCCTGGGTGGAGTACAGATCAGGTGGGACCGGGGTCCACACAGAAGACGATTTCTCAAAATCTACTCATTAATTTTGTGATATTTGGCAGACTTTTTACTTTTATCATATTTTAAATAAAGAGAACTTTAAAATGGCGGTTGAACAGATGAATTTTGTGACACATTTAACAATTACAGTACAATTATATTATTAATTATCTAAAAACCCGTCTGTTAAAATTTGGTCAAATAAGTTTTAAATGGTAATGATTAATGATTAAGTTTATAGGAAAATCTAATGAGCGAATTTTATGTAAGCTGAGCAAAAGTGAAATGTTAAGGTTGTATTCAATCGTTCACGTTGCCATGGAAACTATGAAAACGTCAAATTTTACCTGTCAATCAAAATCTTCAATCAGTATATTTTTCACTTGCCAAGTTTCAGCTTGTGAGCTGCAACCTTTCTCTTGCCATGATTTGGCAAATGACGTACATAATTCACAAACTGCCAAAACTGTGTTCAGCCACCTTAACATCAGTTTATGCTGCCATAAACTTGAACGATAAAGATATGTTTTACTGCATCAAGCTCACTTGGTAGCAAGTGTTTTTACTGACTTGATCTTTATAATGTTAACATTAATGAAATTTTCGGTTTGATTTGTTTCTAATCTCAGTGGAATGGCAAAACAGGGAGATATAACTGAAGAAAATATAGATGCCGATCCCCTATCCCTAAGGTGAGTAATATTTAATTTCAATAATTTTTTTGCCGATAGAGCAAATTGGTCTCTCACGAGAAAATACAATTCTTGCAAAACTACTTGAAAGAAGCCATTGTGTTACACTATTGGTATGGAGTAATGGTGGCTGTGACAAATAAATAAAATACAAATACATATACATTTTATTCTTCAGCGTCATTCAGATCAAAGTTTGTAAGTGTATAAGTAGTACATGAATTAATTGCTGAATAGCAAAATGATTATTTTGCAGGAGATTGCCTTTCAATGAGATTGTAGTGCCTTCTGTCAATAAAGTATGTTCCATATACATTAGAACAGCTGGTCTCACACCAGAAGGCCATCGGAGAGACCTGCGGGAACTGGAAAATTTATTTTACATCATGGTTAGTATGCTTTATAATTATGCCTGTAAACACTACAATTCCAAAGGGGTTAACCTGTGGTTTAGGTCAAAAATTTGAGATTTTCTGAAATTTTTGTTTTATGCAAAATAAAAATAATGAGAAAAAGTATATGCTAACGTTTTTGGTAGAAAATAAGCCTTTTCAGATAATAAAAAATAGATTTAAGAAAACCGAAAAACTGGCATTTCTCCAAAGGAGTAAGTCCATATCATTTTCGTCATGAATTTAAACTTTCTGCAACTTTTATTGTTATGAAAAAAAAAAAACAACAAGAAAAGTATCTGAGGACATTCTAGTTAGAAAAACTTTTCTCGGCAACCCCTTGTAACCACCTCTAATACCCTGTAACCGCTGCTTTTCATCCTGTTACCCCCTGTATCCCCATGTACCAGATCGTGATAATAGATCATGAGAAAACACGTTTTGACGTTTAATATAGAAAACAAGCCTTTCTGGACTATGAAAAAAATGGGTTAAAAAAACATTTTTCTAAAGGGGTTAATAAGTCTATGGTTTTGGTCAAAAATTTGAAATTTCTTCAACTTTTATTGTTATGCAAAATACAGCAAGAAAAAGTGTCTGGGGACATTGTAAATAGAAAAACGTTTTTCTGCATCCCCTTGTAACCCCCTGTTATCCCCTGTACCCCTTTTAACCCCCGTACCCTTTGTAACCCCCTGTAACCCATTGTTACCCCCTGTAACCACTTCTAATCCACTGTTACCCCTGTAACCACTTGTAACCCCCTGTAACCTGTGACCCCTTGTAACCATACCATACCATAGCCAGCCATAACCCCCTGTAACCCCCTGTAACTGCCTGAAACCCCTTGTAACACCCTGCAACTATCCCCATATAGTTGATCCTAATAATAGATCGTGAATAAACAATTTTTGACGTGTTATAGAGAAAAGGATTAAATTAACTGCAAGAACCATAGACAAAGATCCTGCTAGTTGTAAACGTTGGATCTCAAGAAAAGAGACCTAATCAGCCAAAATATAAGGAACCAAGAACGAGAGGTCCAAAGACTACTGCAAAGCTGATTCAGAACGTGTATTGTTTTTTCATATGACAGCAGATGTCTGCTGTCAAATAACTGTTATCACACGTCTGATGTCTTATTTTATATGTTATATAACTGTCATCAGACATCTGAGGTCTAATATCAGACGTCTGATAACAGTTATATGAGGTCAGACGTCTGATGTCAGACGTTTGACATCAGACATCTGCTGTCACATAACTGTTATCAGAGGTCTGATGTCTAATTTATATGTTATATAACTGTCATCAGACGTCTGATGTCTAATATCAGACGTCTGATAACAGTTATATGATGTCAGATGTCTGCTAACAGTTATATGACATCAGACGTCTGATATCAGACATCTGCTGTCATATAACTGTTATCAGACGTCTGATGTCTGATTTTATGTGTTATGTTATATAACTGTTATCAGACATCTGATGTCTAATATCAGACGTCTAATAACAGTTATATGATGTCAGATGTCTAAAGTCAGGCGTCTGTTATCAGACGTCTAATGTCATTTGTCTTTTATCAGACGTCTGATGTCAGACGTCTGATATCAGACAAATGACATCAGACGTCTGATGTCAGACATCTGCTGTCATATAACTGTTATCAGACGTCTGATATGTAATATTAGATGTCTAATAACATGAGTTATATGATGTCAGACGTCTGCTAACAGTTATATGACATCAGATGTCAGATGGCTGCTGTCATATAACTGTTATAAGACATCTGATGTTACATGTTCTGTTATATAACTGTTATCAGACATCTGATGTCTAATATCAGATGTCTGATAACAGTTATATGATTTCAGACGTCTGATGACAGTTATATGATGTCAGACGTCTGATAACAGTTATATGACGGCAGATGTCTGCTGTCAAATTACTGTTATCACATGTCTGATTTTATATGTCAGACGTCTGATGTTTAATATCAGACGTCTGATAACAGTTATATGATGTCAGATGTCTAAAGTCGGGCATCTGTTATCAGACGTCTAATATCAGACGAATGACATCAGACGTTTGACATCAGACATCTGCTGTCATATAACTGTTATCAGACGTCTGATGGCTAATTTTATATGTTATGTTATATAACTGTCATCAGGCGTCTGATGTCTAACATCAGACGTCTGATAACAGTGATATGATGTGAGACGTCTGATGTCAGACATTTGATGTTATATGTTATGTTATATAACTGTCATCAGACGTCTGATAAACGTTATATGACAGCAGACCTCTGATGTCAGACGTCTAATGTTATATGTTATGTTATATAACTGTCATCAGACGTCTGATAACAGTTATATGATTTTGATAACAGTAATATGACAGGTGACGTCAGACGTCTGCTGTCATATAACTGTTATTACACTTGTGATGTCTGATTTTATGTTATGTTATATAACTGTCATCAGAAGTCTGAAGTCTGATAACAGTTACATTGCAGCAGACGTTTGATGTCAGACGTCTGATGTTATATGTTATGTTATATAACTGTTATCAGACGTCTGATATGACATCAGACGTCTTGTAACAGTTATCAGACGTCTGGTGTCTGATTTCATATGATATGTTATATAGCTGTTATCCCACATCTGATGTCTGATGTTATATGTTATGTTAAAATTATCACGGTTATCAGATGTCTGATGTCTGATATCAGACATGTGATGTGTTTTATGTCTTATACCAGACGTCTGCTGTCTGATGTCCTACAGTTGATATCAGATGTTTCATGTTTGTTCTTTGATGCCAAACATCTGCTCTCAGATGTCTGATGTCTGATATCAGACATCTGATATTAGGCATCTGATACCAGACGTTTGTTGTTAGATGTCTGATGTCATATCTCTGATATCAGATGTCTGATGTTTGCAGTGTGATATCAGCTGTGTGATGTCAGACGTTTGATGTTTCTCATATGATGTCAAACATCTGATATCAGACGTCTGTCTGATGTCAGATGTCTGATTTCATATGTCTGACACCAGACGTGTGATGCTAGATGTCTGTTGTTTGTTGTCTGAATTAAGATGTCTGATGTCAGACGTCTGATATCAGATGTCTGATGTGATATGTATATGTCAGACATCTGTGGTCAGACTTCCGATGGCAGATGTCTGATAGACATAGATAGACTGACGTGTGATGTCTAATATGAGACGTGTGATATCAGACATCTGATGTCCGAGTCTAAGTTGAGACATTTGAGATCAGACATCTGATGTCAGACCTCCGATATCATCACCTCTGATGGCATATGTCTGATATGTCCGACCTCAGTGGTCTGACTTCTTATGGCAGATTTGGGATACCAGACATCTGATAATATTTTTGTAGCCTAGAGCAAATAAGTCGACTTTTAGTTTTTGTATTCTTCCATATTGGTTATTCAAAGACTGTGAAAATTAATCAGATCTGTTACTCTCCAGGGTATTTATATATTTTAACAAGTTTCGTACATGTCCCCTTTACCTCTGGTACCTGTAGGTTCCCCAGTTGCCAAATTAAATTTATATGCAATCTTTGTGATGAAACAAATAATTTTTTCCCTACCTGTTCCCGACCCAGTAAAAGAAGGAATCAGTATGTCGGTATGTCTTTCTTTAGGGGATGTTTGAGCATTTACAGGCAGTGTGGATTCCATAACTTATTTAGTAGTATTTATAGTCACATGTCAGAGGTCATACGTCCGATATCAGACGTCTGATGTTTGCCTTATGTCAGGCGTCTGATCTCAGATATCTTATGACAGAAGTCCGATGTCAGACATCTGATGTCTCATGTCAGATCTCTGAATTCAGATGTCTGGTGTCAGACAACTGATGTTTGTTGTCTGATGTCAGGTCTCTGATGTCTGATGTTAGATCTGTGATGTCTGATGATTGATATCAGACGTCTCATGTCTCATGTCAGACATAGGATGTTGGTTGTCTGAAGTCAGACATCCGACGTTAGACCTCTCATGTGTGTTGTCTGATGTCAGATATCTGATTTCAGACGTCCGATGTCCGATGTCAGACGTCCTTCGGCCTTGTCCAACTTTGGCTGTCCTAGGAATTTTTTTCCATCCAATCATTTCCAAATTGGACTGCATGTAGTCCTATTACATATACAAAGTGTTTTGTTGTTAGTGCATTCGTGTACTGTGTAGTTAACAAAAGTGAAGATACAATCACATCCCAAGGCAACGACTTTGTGGCCAGTTGTTTTACAACGGAAAAAACAATATACCTCTTTCTAGATATTACTTGACTGAGACAAATATTTTGCTTCGATTGGCTAAACAAAGTCTCACAAGGAAATGTATTGTCTGTAGGGTTATTTTTATGCTCATTTCCCCATTGGAAGTAAGTATTAAACTCAACAAATAATTTTAGCAATGATGGCAGTCTTGGGAAGAGATTTTCCAGAATTAAAAAATGAAGGACACTACAATTAAACGTTGCAAAAAAAATTAACGGTCTCCCGCGCAAGTTATGCTTGGTTTGCGAACCCATCACCTTGCAAATCAAGTCAACATCTTATTTAAGCATTTTATTATAATCATTCAGTGCTATTTAGTTGGTATTTGACAACAATTCATAGTTGGCGTCCCAGACAGAGAAATTGCCCCATGTTGAGTAATCCAAGACACTCTTGAAGTCGGGATTTTCTCCGGCGCCTGTGTGTTGTGCTCCACGCCCGCTTCACACTGGGCAAACGCGAAAAAATAAAATAAGCCCAATTTTTCAGGCTAGTTTTCCGCAGAAAGGTAGGGAAAAAGTCTTGTTGGTCACAGCTTCTTCTATATGTTAATATTCTAAATCTCTATACTATTCCAAATCCAGGAAATCATTGCTTGTGGAATCCCGAATCCTGGGTTTTGGAATCCGCCATCCAGCTCAAGGAATCCACCGTCTCGCTAACGATTGAAATTTGGAATTCAGTCCCTAGAATGTGGAATCCAAACTTGCATATTGACAGTTGTCTGGACCAAACGAGGTGGTACGAAAAAATCTATTCTCGAGCGGGAGAGGACTGAGTTAATCTAGTTTGGGCAAAGGGTAGGTGTGGTTATCTCGGAGGAGTCGCCTGTTACGAGACCTTGGGACTGTACAATAATTACCTGGAAGGAGGGGTCTGGGAAATAGGTGAAATATGCTCCAAAACTAAGTCATACCCGCCTAACATTAAGCAAAAATTCATTTCAACCCCACCTCACTGTTAATGGTAATATTAAGGCTAACCCTCCCCCCCCCCTTGAAAAAAGTCTCCTCCCGGTGATTCCCTCTTCTTGTTGTCATTTTCTCCTATGCCCCCCTCTAATTTTCCAACCCCCCCCCCCCTCCAGGTAATTATCGCACAGTCCCTTACAAGACATCAATTCATTTATTTTAGTTTTTATTTTATTTTTTATTTTATCAATTAATTTATTTTAGTGTTCCCACTTAGTGGTTATACACCGCTATTACAGTTCTGACACTTTAATAAAGGTATCATCATCATCATCATCACGTTCATGAAAGAACTTGGAGACAAATTGTGACTGATGGGAGAGAACAGAACGAAGTAATGTAATTAGAGCGGTTTTCATTTGAGTGTCGAAAAGTAATTGGTTTTGCACTTTCTACACGATGCGATTGGCTTAAAAGATAGCGCGGTGGAAAAGTAGGTTAGTCTTCATTTTGGTTTCGGAATTGTGACGCGCTCGCATGCATTTTCCCGCGCTTTACGTCAGCCACATGTATATTACTTCGAGTTTTGATTGGTTCAATGTATTGTCTGTGTCCTATGTGATTGGCCAGAGTAATTACTTTGGTTTTGGTTTTACGACACTCAAACGAAAACCACTCTAAATAACAAACTACAAAACATATACAGTAACGAAAAAAACATCAAAGGTACTTTCAAAGTATAATCAATGGAAAATGCTTTACTGAGAGGCTGTTTTAAATATTTAATCTTCACTGACAACTGCCAGGCTTGTAAGAAAAAATAGACAACAATAATGAAGTAGAAGTACTCGCCCTGTCAGTTGAGCTTTGAACAGTTTCACGAAATTTGATTACAGCAAGGAGCCCAAAAGTGTGACCTCCTAATGTACATTCTTTCATTAAGGCATTATCCAATCAGAAGTCGAGGACAGTTTCCAGCTGGCTTCTGATTGGATTTAATCTGCACGAAAGAATGTAAATAAATAAAAAGCGGTCACACTTTTGGGCTCCTTGCTGTAATAGTAAATGAGAGTGTGAAAAATGTTTGACGGTTATTAACTGTAAAAACAACAACAACAACAACAACAACGCGTACTGATGCTGTCGCTCGATCCGGTCTCTCACTGACTCTTCTGGGTCACAGTTCGTGCACTATCGTAAGGGAACACGTCTTCTTGCTTACATATACTTTTTTCCTTCCGCCGATGCTGGTTAATAATATTTATCGCTCAAGCAAAACCTAGTTTCTTTTAGGTGTATATAATAATGGGTTCTTTTAATCTATTTAAAGTGTTTTATTTATTTTTACCCGAAGATATTAGTTCCTGATAGTGTAAGTTATTCAGTCTGAAATTCGAGAGTAAAAAAAAATGTATCATGTATGTATTTTAGCCCTGGCCTGGCTTAATGTTTTAATTTTAAGCTTCAGCGAAGAAACAATAACAGTCAGGAACTTAACATAGAAAGTTTATATTCATAGACTATTGCTGCTGCAGATCCATTACATTTTTAACTTTTCACTTGTTATATTTCAATTTCATCTTATTTACAGTCTTGAAATTGTTTGGAATTAACGTGGAAAGCAGCGAGGACATAATTTTTTTTTTAATTTTTTCTTTATTTAAAAAAAAAAATAAAAAAAAAATAAAATAATAAAGAGAGGACATAATGGCCATAAGAACAACTGTGTTTAACAGGAATTTAGAACAACGGGGCATTAGTCCCGTTAAAAATGTCCATAAGTCGGTGGTGGAGCACAACCTGGGTATGAAAAACAGTTTATATTGTTATATTTTTTTGGTTTGTGGACTTATTAGTGCCCGCTTAAGTAGGTCACTTACGAACCCGTAATGCAATGGGTACACTTACGGGTGTTGCAAGGAACGCACTTAGCACTTTCGTAAGTTTCTTTTTTCGTGGTAACTTACGGGCTCACTTAAGGGCACACGTAACTTTGTTTAACATTTTTACTTTTAAGCAACTTGGGTAAGAATTTTGAAGAGGCAGTTGAGGGCCTGACGCCCTGGAGGTATTGTGCACAGTTTTATTATTAGTAAGGGGATGGGATATAGACATATCTTATCCCCTAAAAATTTTTTTACCTGTTGGGATTTCCTAGCCGAAAGTCTAGTGATCCGAAAATTATAGGGATCAAAACTTACCTTTTCGAAAATTTCAACCAGAAAAAGGGCTCCCGAAAATTATAGGTGACCCTTTTAGGGTTAAAATCCGTTAAAAATGGGCAATTACACCATTTTTTAGATGTACGAAAATCCTAGGAGAGGCAGACAAGTAAGAAATTTTACAACAAATGTTCCGAAAATTTTAGATCTCAAATCGTCTTCCGAAAAGATATTTTCCAAAAATTGGCGTTAGGTGTCCCTGTTTTATTAGTGCCCCCTTCTCTCCCCCCCCCCCCCCCCCCCCCCCCCCCCCCCCCCCCCCCCCCCTCATCTCCCTCCTCTTCTCCGATCCCACTCCCCTCCACCTCCCCGAACTACCAACAACACACACAGCGCCTCCTCACTTACGCAACCCCCCCCCCCCCCCCCCCCCCCCCCCAATTTCACTGCTGTTCTGATGTGTGACATTTCTGCAGTAAAAACTGCATCCGATAAACTGGAAAAAAAAGAAAGAGCTCTTCGCCTCGTGCTTAAAGACAAAAGCATTTCTTACTCGGAATTGTGAAACTAGGAATCATGAAGATTGCCAACTGTGTCTTTAAGGTGCAGAAAATGGGTAGCAAGAACATTCCCTCAACTCTATAATTAGTTGCTCATTTGCATTATTATCTATTTTTTTAATTTCTTATCTTTATCCCTAGGTGCTTAATTTTATTAAGCCCACGTAGCGAAATGAAGAAAAGATTGTTTTTTTCCGAGCAGAACAATTGGAAAAACGGTTCACCGATAGAGGAAAATCGCCGTTGCTAGCGGACAGAGTACGGCGCAGTATTAGAAAATTCAACCTTGGTAAGTGACAAGAATACAGCTATTTTATTTGTTGTCCACGTTAGTGTAAACATAAAAAATAACGCCGAAAAAGACACGACTTTGTCTGGGTGGCCATGTGATTTCCTTCCGAATAAAACCTTGAGTTGCATTTGGGTTGCCATACCTGTTGATTGAGTCATTTTACATTGGTATACCTGTGGTGCAGACGGACGGACGCTCGCTTGCTCGGTGTAGGGTCACATGATTACCAAATTTTCTCGGATGGGTAGATTTCCACATTTCCTTAGCTATGGGGCTCCGCCGACGGGCGGCGCTCCGCTATAATGTGTGTTTTACTGCTAACGAGGCCAACGAGGCAACCGAGCGAAGAAGCGAGGTTGAGTCGGCTGCAGAATTATGTCGCCGCGCAATGTAGGAAAAAACTCTCAAATTCTGCGTAGCCCTCTAAAATTTGCATTTTTGACCATATTTGGGTGAAAGTAAGACCCCATATTTGGGTAGTGACGTCATGGTCTTGTATCTACAACTTGTGGTTCAAGATTGGGTGATTCATTGTGCAGCTGGTGGTTGTCTGTTCAAGAGGACCTAACTGGTGAGCAAGCTTTAATACGATTTCTAGTTTGATAGGGTAATTAGTGATCTGGTGTGCTTTATAAATTGTGTTTAAAGCAGCAGCTGATCAAGGAATAGGGTTTTACGCTCAAATTTTTGTCAGAACTGGTTTGTTCTTTGCAGCTCGATTTATTTTGAGGTAGCGTGTTCGCTTCTCGACTCAGGAGCAGGGTTTTCAGTGTTGTCTTTTCCTTTGTGAACTGAATTTTAAGCGGTAGTTGATCAAGGCATAGGGTTATATTCTCAAAACTTGTATCAGAACCAGCGTGTTCTTCGCAGGTCGATTTACATTGAGCCAGTCCTCACCTCCCGTGAGGAATGCAACGTATTTGCGAACCCTTTTTTAAAAATTTATTTATGTTTTTCGAGAGATTTTGTCAACCAGCATGTTTTTTTGCTGCTCGATTTACATTGAGACAGTCCAAAACTCCCGTGAGGAATGCAACGAATTTGCGGACCTTTTGTTTTTCAGACTATCATTATGCATTTCAAGAGACTCTTTGTCCTGTGACACTCGCTTCTTAAATCTTTATATTTTATTCAAGTTTATATTTTTATACCTCTAATACATTCCGCCCCATTCTTGCGCGCTTTTCACACATTTCATTTTACACCAATTTTTTTCTTATGTATATTACCACGCAAAGTATTTTTCTTATCCCTGATGACGCTGTTGCTCGGACTTTAATTAATATTTTTAATTTCAGCAGTCAAAGGCCTCATTTGAACTATATTTTCCTTTCTAAAGTTTATAGCTTTGATACAATGGAATCTTCCATGAAAGATAAGTGCTAACTTGCTCATATTTACCAACAAAGCTTCAAGCCATGCTGTTATTGTTTAATAAAAGTGAAAGCCTAGAATGTGCCAAAGTTGTTGGTTTGAAGTTGGGTGCCATCCTTTTCTAGAATTATGAAAGAGGATCTGAACAGGCACATTCCACAAAAGATAAACGAATTCGTCTCGTTGGCACTTGCCGGAAGGTACCCCTAGTTTAATTACTTATTTTGTTTTGCTTTGTGTGTTGCTTCGCTACTATTTTTTTCTGCCACCACTGTGTTAAACACGTCATTTTATAGCTAGCCGCTAGCACGAAAACTCTTTACGCCACCAACTCTCTCTCCTAATATGTTTACTAAGGTGATGTTTCGAATTTTGCTATTTTTTCAGGATCGAAAAGAAAAGAACAGCAGAGATTGCTCTCGCCATCGGGCTTAAAAAAACCAAAAAGATGCATTTTCATCAGGGGGGCATTTATGAAACCCGAAACCCTGCGGTTATTGGAGTAAGGTAATTATATCTAAAAACAACAGACTTGTCAAGGCGTAAGAAAAGCACTTATATAGGGCAAGTTAACTTTCTACACAGACTCGTAATATGAATGATTTAATAGACGCTCGGGACGTTTATTTAATTTTAACGGTTCAAGAGTGGGCGTTTGATAAATTAAAGAGGTGGAAAAAAAGAGGGAGGCGCATATTCTCGAAGCTGCTGTAACAAACTCAACAAAACTACCATGCTTCTGCTGAGAATAATAAAATGAGAACATATCGGAAATTCAAACGATAGAAAATCACAAATGTGAGGATTACCTCCGCCAGATCACCAACATCCGCCACAGAATGACGTTAACAAAATTGAGATTAAGCAACCATATACTCACCATAGAAACGGACCGATATTTAAAACCTTATAAAAAACCTGAAGAAAGAATGTGTCTAGATCTTTTTGGCTGCTGTTTACGACAGCAAGGTGAAAGAGTTGGATTGTGTAGCCAAATCAGATCGAGAAAGAGACACCTTTAAGCTATTTTCAGCTTTATTAGCTTTCGTATCACTGAGTAATACTTCTGAGGACTTTGACCTGACTTCTCTGCAAACATTTTTTTAGCCTTTCACGTTCGCAAACAATTTTTTTCAATATTTCTAATTTCCCCCTCCAGAAAAATAATGGTTCGTCCTTTACGATATTCTTATGCCCGAAAAGCATCAACTCTTTTGGTGGATCATTTACAAGAACATTTTTTGTAGTAGGAAAATGGCATTTTTTATGCCATTAAAATTCTTATCTACCCTATGTCATTAAATCTCCTTACAAAACGTTTAGTAGGAAGTGTTATAATAAAAGCAAGTTAACATTTTTCTTATTTCCAGCGTCGGACAAATCACTGCTGCCCCAGAGCGTGCTCGAAGGTAAAGTATGCCAAATAACACTTTCCGAAATCAACTTTTTAGAGTTTCTAAATCATTGCACTAATTCGTTTGGTGTATATACTTAAACGCTACATACAGGCAGTTTCAACAACAACAACAACAACAACAACAGCCAACCATTTTATTTTTCCAGCTGTTCTCTCGTCCGCATTCAATGCAAAACTTCATCATTTTGAGAAACATCCAAGCCTCTTTCACTCTTTCAAGAAAATGTATTGTCTGTAGGGTTATTTTTATGCACATTTCCCTATTGGAAGTATCTATTGAACTCAACAAATAATTTTAGCAGTGATGGTGGTCTTGGGAAGAGAAGGATGAGTAATGGAAACATGAAAGAAAAGGGAACAAAACTGAGAAATGGAAATGAAGTTTCTGATTTTCTACCAAAACAGCTATTTGTGCTTGCGCGCCATTGTGATCTAATTGTCACCACCATTCATCTTGTCAACTTGCTCTTCTAGTGGCCCCACAAATTTTACATTTTCCCCCTTTGAGTAACTCTCCACGTAAAGAAGTTGTTTCTGGAGCTCGCAAACATCCTGTTGTTACCTTTTGTTTTCAAGTTTTAAGTCGAGTATGTTGGATACTTTCTTTTAATTCACTGATCGTTGCGCCAAGCTGTTTGGACTTTGTTTTGAGATCTTCGACTTCCGAATCTAGCAAGCATTTTCTTCAATGCTTGCTAGTGTTAGTGTGCATCTGGCTCAAGCGGCTTTCAATAGTATCAAGCTTTTCTAATTTTTTAACTACAGCTTCAAGCTTCGACCCTACGCCCTCTGCCATTTCTAAAGCTTCGAAGACTTCGTTAGTCTCCGAAGCAGTTGAGTGTGCCTTCGCTTCGTCTTTCGATTCTTTTTCATCTGGAGATGGCAAAGAGTCTTTGGAAGCTTTGACCGGTTTCTGCGTTGGCCCAGCATTAAAAAAACTATAAATTTTCCGCGACGATTGAGGGAGCTCGGCGAAACACGTTTACTCTCCCATGTTACCGGTCCCCATCCTTGAGAAACTTGCTCTTTCACCTCGTTCAGTGCATCAGTCTCCACTTCAAATCAACAGATCTTTACTTATTTTGTACAACGAAGGTCTTTACTTAGTTCCTGCTACCAATTGAATCTCAAGCAGGCTTTCAAAGTAAAGAATTTGGTTCCTATGACTATGCACTACCGTCGCTGTCACTGGTCGCGTGCTCTTTATCAAGTCTTAGTGCGCTTGCTCATGCAAAAAAAGATCCCTGTTATCTGTTAACGGTCTATTTTTTCATACACCATAGGGGGGAGGGGGTGGGGTAAACAGGTGCATTATGGCCTATGTGAAAATGGTGAATACAATGATTTCACGCATTTAAATTCTGGTTTAATGATTCGTGCTTTAACGTTTATTTTGCAGATTCTCTTAAGGAAGAGGAACAATTGAAGTCAGAAATTTTAAAATTAAAAAAAAAGAAAACTGGAGCTTGAAATAGAATGTGTGTAATATTTGTTTTTTAAAACGGGATAAAGTGTTGTTGTTCTTTAATTGTTGTTGTCAAGATTTATGGACGTATAAATTGTAGCCTATCTTCTTTTTTAGAGGCAACAGCAACAACCACAACAACCACGGGAGCAAAAAGACCAGTTGAAGCAAAAGGAGGTAGAGTACACAGTTAAAAAATCCCTGAGTTCGCTTTTAGTTGGAAACGTGACATAAAAAGTCGGTCACATAAAGTAGATTCAAAACAACAACCACACGAACAACGATACAAACAGCAAACTGAACAACACGTGTAGCCGAAGCAAGGAGGCAAAGTAAAGTAACTATACAGTTGCAAGTGATTCTTTCTGAGTTCGCGTAGTTTTGGACACTTGAGGAAAAAATTCATACAAGGCAAAACGGAGGTACAAGTAAGGAAGAGGCTACCTAAAAAGCATTAATTGAAAAGGAATAAGATAAAATTAAGTTGTAATAAAGGTTATGTAATAATCTTTATACCTTTTTGTAGCGTGAAGTCTACGAATCGGAGTTTAGCCAATTTTGTGTACATAGGAGTTTCTTTTGAGCTCAAATAGAAACTTACCATCCCACAAAACAATCGGTGACCAATCCTGACCAGCCAATGTCACAGTAAATTATTCTTTTGTTACGAAGTTGAATTTTTCGATGAGTTGGTATTCCCCGGCGGACCACAATACTCTTCAGGCTCACAGTTCAAACTACATAACCATTTTAGTTCCGTACGTCTCTGATAACGAAAACAAATAGGAAAACATATTTAAGTCATCTTTGATGAAATATAGCGTGTGGAATTTTCATGAGCAATTTCTTATCTTCTTTTTTTCAGAAATCAATGAGGAAAGAATTGAAGGTAAAGTATTCAATCTTTTATCTCTCTCTCCTTAACTGCCGACTAGTACACTGTCGATAAGGTTTGCTAAAAGTTCTGCTCATGGAGGAAGAAAATGTCTGATAAGCAGTTTTGGTTAATCTGAAATTAGCGAAGTATTTGTCGAGCCGAAGCCAGTTCAAGGTACCCTCACCAAAGGCAGAGGCAGCAGATATATAAAGAGTTACAACAACAACAACAACAACAACAACTTTATTGTACCCAAAGCAGAATATTATAGTTATTTACCAGGCGCTGGAGGAAAAGGCACGGAAAAAAAACGCCTTTACTGGAGGCTAGCTCTCTACTGAAAGATGTGGCCGGAGACTTTTCTTTTTCCCGGGTTCAGTCCTGATGTACAGAAGGATTTTCGCTTGCCTTCGTTTCATGAAAAATGCGAAAACTTAATAAATCTTGTTATGCTAGCATATGAGAGCATCCAGTATTTCCGGCTCTAGTCCTAGTTCAGGGGCGGATCCAGGATTTTTTTTAGGAGGGGGTGCACTCGTCTCTTGCTCTACTTCAACACCAATAAACCACATAGTTTTTGTTGCTTTTTTGCAGAATACCAATTGTATTAGAAAACCGCAGGTCATCTCAGGGGAGGGTGCGCACCCCCTGCACCCTCCCCCTAGATCCGCCCCTGTAGTTTCACCCTCCGAGAGGGTGAGAGGGGACGATTAGAAATACGTCTGAGGCTCACAGGGTACTGATATGCAGGCTGTAGGTTTGGAAAGCTCGGTTTACCTGGCGTGCTCGTAATGCTTAATAAAATTGTGTTTTTTTTTTCACTCCTAATCCACGTCTTTGTCAAGCAGATGAAATCCCCTTCCTATCACCAGTGCCTCCAGGCTACCCAGAGATCACACTCCGTGAAAGCATCGCTGGTATTATTTCTCTTTCTCTCTTTTCATTTATTATCATTTATATATAAAATGTTTTGCTGTTAGTGTGTTAGTGTACTGTGTAGTTAACAAAAATGAAGATACAATCACTTCTCGAGGCAACAACTATTTTTGCCCCGGAGGGTACTTTAGGACTTTTTGGGTGGGGATGTGCCGCTGGAACCCTGGAACCCTTAGCCTATACCAGAGTTAGTGCCTTATACTAGACTAAACTCGCCAAAACCCCCCTATCCTAGAATAGCTGTTTTCCAGAAACAACTAAGGTCACTGACACAGTCCAGCCAAAACAATACCGATTTGATTATTTTATATTTTTGAGTGGCAATTCCCGGTTTCCCTAGTCTAGACTAAAATCTTCAGCTAATTGATCAGTTTAAATGGAAAATAATACCCTCTTCTAGACCCAAACTCTCTGATTCATATACCCTGTCCCAGAGTAAACTTCTTGAAACCATACCCTTGACAGCGGCACATACCTATATGGCACTACCCCCCCCCCGGGGGGGTTTGCCAGTTGTTTTACAAGAGGCAAAACGATATACCCCTTTCTATATATTACTTCTTAAATTCAAATATGTATTCATGCAGATCAGTTTTCTAATCGAAATATATGAAAAGCTTGAAGTATAGCCGAATTTGCGAAAATGCAGGAATTCTCCAACGTCCCCAAAGAGTTGTTTGTTGTATGATACGTTGTAAATCAGCCAAGTTCTTGCAGGGAATGACAGAAAATGTTCTTTCGTTTCGCATTATCCCTTGAAACCTCGTGAATGATTGTGCATGTAGCAAATAAAGAAACACCAAAAAAATCGTTGTCAACCTGCTCGAAAGTTCCTTTCGTATAAAATTTTCTAAAAAGCAGGTAGAACTTTCTGCATCGAAGTTACCAGCAGACCACTCCGTGTATATAATAATGTTGAAAAGATATTTATCAAAAAAGGTAAAAACCCAATTGAAAATCTTCGTCTTTTTCCTGTAAAGGCTAAAATCTAGCCCTAAATCCCTAAGAAGCTTAGGGGTTCCATTTTTTTTTCTATTACTTTCACTTCGTATGTGTTGCAAAATGACGGAATGACCTCTAATGTTTTCTTGTTCTTAGATTACGAAAATTAGAAGAGGATAATAAGCAGTTAAATGAACACCTTAACGGCAAGTTGCATAATAGTATAGAAACTTAGAATATCAACATTTACAGCGAACAGTAAACGTGAGATACAAGTTTTAAAATTTTTAAATTGGGAATGAACAAATAAAAACTATCCAAAATAAAAACCGTTGAAGTAAATAAAAACAGTTAAACAACGTTTAAAGCTGCCCGTGAGGTGAGGAGGTTTCATGAGGTTTAACCTGAGTCCGTGTTTAGACAAGGTTTAAGCAAGGTTACGGAAGAGCAGTATTTAAATAGGGATTCACAGTTGAAACATGGTTAGAAGATGACTTTTATTAATGCTGTCTTATAGTAGTTTAAATAACCGGCCCTTTACAATCGCTTTTGTTTTAGCGCGTTGTTGCTGTTTATCACCTCGGTTAAAAGTCACCAGGCGATTTGGCATTTTTTCTATGACCTTCACTTCGTATGTGTTGCAAAACGACGGAATTCCCTGTTATGTTTTCCTGTTCTTAGATTACAAAGACAGAGTTTTGAAATTGGAAGAGGAAAACCTCGAATTAAAAAGATCATATGAACATCTTATGGGTAAGTTGGGTACTGAATAGTATAGAGATTTAGAATATTAACATTTACAGCGAACAGTAAACGTGAGATGCAAGTTCAAAATTTTCAAACTGATTTGGAATGAGCAAATAAAAGCCGTCCAAAATAATCTGATGGATACATGAGACAAAAACCAACTTATTTCTGTGCAAATAATGAATAACGAACAACAAGTGAAAGGAAAAGTTGGTCACGCGGTACAACTTGACAAAATCATGACTTTAAATCTGTCTTATGACAAACATCAACATTACACTGGTTTAGACTCGACTACGAGCCGCTAATCAGGAAAATATATAAGCCCACAAAGAT